TGAAAATGTCTGTAAACAGCTCAAAATAAGTCAAAATATTTTAATGTTATGGTGTATAGGAAATGCTAATATAAACATCCAGTCAAAATTTCATATACCTGCGGTAATTTGTTTAAGAGTTACACCAAAAACCAAAATCGATTTTTTCGACAATAACATATTTTGTGTAAAAATTCCCGTTGTTCCTTAATTTTTATTTTATTTTTCACGGCGCTTTTGAAAACTACTGGAAAAATTTTACTTTTGACCCCCCCCAAAGTACCAACTAGATTCACTTTCCTATCTGAAAAGATACTGTTGAAGAAAATCCAAGCACTTTTACTGTCCTAATAGGTGATGACAGGCACAAAAAAATAATTTTAAATTAATAAAAAAAAAAAAAAAAAAACACATCATTGTAAAATCAATACAATCATCGTTTTTCACTCAGAATCTAAACTCCATAATATATTAGATTTAGGGCGGACTTTGTCATTGAATAGGTCACTGTATAATGAATGTATTAAAATTAAAATTTGAATTCATTGATAAATCATAATACGAAAGATGATTATTAGCTGTCAACTTGTAATTACAACACTTGTAATGACAGTTTTAGGGGGCTGGAGCAGGTACAAATTATCACGTTTAACAGTCCAAAAGCTAGACAAAAGTACAAAACTGTGGGACTTGGGTTTGACGGATTTTAATTTTGAAAAATAATTGAAAATCTTCAACAACTCTTCTAAAGCATGGCCGTGGAAATTTATCATTATTACAAAAAATATTGACGTCCACTTAATAGTCACAACAACTTTACACTATTTGTAATCAATGATACATATTTCATTTTTGTATATAGATAGCTATTAAGTTCGTAGAATGAAAATGTCATTATTTTAATAATTATTAAGAACTTCTCAAGATTGTAAACAAAAATACATTTCCTGATTTGAAAAAAAAATGTTTTTTTTTTCGTATTTCTATTTACTTTAAACGAATAACAATAATAGTAATGGGCAAAGGTGGGCATTAACTAGTTGAAAAGTTAAAGTTCAGTTAAAAAGTTTATTTTTTTTTAACTTTTTAACTTAACTAGTTAGTTTATTTTCTAATCAACTTATGAACTTAAATAGTTTAATTTACAATTGAAATAACTTAGCTTTTCTCAGTTGATTTAAAAAAATCCATTAAGTTAAAACATTTTGAAATTGTTCGTTTATACTTAAATATTACGAATTTCGAAGGCTCATAAAAATTTAATTTGACTTTCTTATAGACATTTTTTTTTTTGTTAAAGGTAGATAATCTTATAAGGAATCTTGTATTACATTTTCAAATCTTAGATTTGAAAAGAAAAATTTTTACGAATTCTTAACTCTAAATAATTTGCTAATTTTCGTGATTTTTACATATTTTGTCAATTTTTGAATTTTAAATGCTTATAAAAAAAAATTGTGAGTAAAGATTTTTAATATTTTTCATTTACCTTTGAAACAATATACTAATAGCCCTCTATTTAATTTTCAAGCTTTTTTAACCAACAAATAAAATTTTATTGATATTTATAAAAAAAAACTAAAAAAATATGGAAAATGAAAATGTTCCTTAACAGTTCAAATCAAATCATAATATTTTGAAAATTTTATCGTGTACAGAAAATGCTAATATAAACATTCAGTCAAAATTTTATGTATCTACGGTGATTTATTTAAGGGTTGCACCAAAACCAAAATTATTTTTTTCGAAAACAGATTGTGTGTAAAAATTCCCGTTCTATTTTAATTTTTCTTTTGTTTTTCACGGCACTTTTGAAAACTACTAAAAAAATTATACTTTTGACTCCCCAAAGTACCAAAATTCCATTAGATGGATAATTACGAACGTTTGGATGTAAGGATTTCGCAGAATTTCTAGCAGAGTAGTCATACATAAGTACATAACACATTAACACACACACATATTACGTATATATATTCATATTCACATCTAAGTTATTAAATTAATTTGGATGGGGTAACCTCGTTTAACTACTTTTACGATAGTAAAAAAGTATTTTATGATTGACTATCAATTATCATGATAATAATAATGAATATTGAGGGGGGAAAGTTCGCAGAGTAGTCAAGTGCCTACTGGTTGGTACTTTGGGGGGTCCAAAGTAAAAATTTCCCAGTAGTTTTCAAAAGCACCTTGAAAAACAAAAGAAATATCTATTATTAATATTATTTGAATTATTATGAGTATTTGATCTATAAAAATCCAATTTTGGACAAGTAATTTATTACCTAGTACCTGGTTCCTAACACTTATAAATATTTTAATTTTTAAGAAATTGTTGTTTTTAGTGACTTAAAATGGTGTAAAAAAACGTTCAAAGCTTATGAAATAATTAGTGTCTTACATTAAAATTAATATTTAATATCCAATAAATTGTCATATTATATATTATCTAGTATAGGTACTCGTATTGAACATGTTACAAATAACAAATACTTTATTTCTATTGATAATATATCATGCCCTATAGTGGGCTCTGTGCAATACCATATATGTATAATATACAGCATAATATATATTTTGTTAGCTAGTTAGCTAATATTATTATAGAATAAACATAATACTGATAACAATACAATCTGAATGAGCGCCACTCACAGCAAGATTGACAAGGATTCTAAATGGCAAAACTATACTCTAATATAGAACATTCTAAAGAAAAATATAAAATTACTAAGCAAATTGTAGAAATTCAAATCCAAGGAGAGCTTTATTACACATCGTTTTTCTCGTAAAATCGCAGGGTTTTTGATTTTTTCGATGTAACTTGTTGTTACATTTTTTTGGTCATTGATCAAAAGCTTAAAAATTCAATAATATCAAATAAAACCAAATAAATTACATAACAATAATAACGTCTATTAGTATAAGTACTAAATGTAGGTACACAAGATTACGGAAATATAGCCATATATTTTATAATTTATAGGTAGGTATCATATTTTTACATAAACACTTCTTTTGATCCAGGGCTAGAATTTTGACCTCAGGGCAGAGTAACCTCTGTCATCTACTGCAGATCATTGACTTTCCACAGTGGCTTTTAAACGTCGCTGCAGTCTTGGCTTCCTCCCCTCTCGCCTTTATTACGCCTGTGTAATACGCCAAGGTGAGCTTTTGTCCTGAGTTCACAGCTCTTTTGTGTCCAGCTAGACGCCGTTTTGTTCGCCGGACACTTTGAACAAATCCTCCGTTTAGGCTCGCCTTTTTTTGGCGTTCGCCCGGCAGACATTTTTTGTCCTCTCGTTAATAATGTTAATGAAGTCACCTTACTGTGCTGGCATACCCAATATTTATGAAACATGACTCTGAAATAAAAATGTCTTATACATTAATATTAATCAAATAATGAGAACTATTTTTACTTACCTTGATGGATTGTCAAGCTGACCAACACGAATCCAATTAGTTTTCGAAAATTCTTGGTAAAGCATTATGAAATTTTCAACTTCATTAACATTATTAATATTGGCTCTAAGAAAACAACACAAACAACTAAAATATCGTTGCCATGTACGTGAATGTTTCAAAAATCTACAATTCATATCTGTGTCACATAGTTACCACTTGTCAATATTCATTTCTTGTGTTCATTAAGGATAAATTTCATTCTTATACGTATTTCTGTATAATCTTCTCCGTTAATTGTGCCTATATAATATTTTCAAATAAATATGTCATATAGATGTGTATCTATGCCTAACATGGCTGCGATGTGTGAAAATTCCTCAGCCAAATTGACAGATAATGGATGGCGATCAACGCCAAATCTCAAGTTTAACCGTACCAATGATATACGAAGACCGGAACCGTCGAAAAATTGTGATTCCGAGGGTTTTCTGGACGGCAGGTTCTGTGTATCTGAGCCGAACATCCGCATACATCCAAAATTAGCTGGCGAGACAGCTGCAGATATTGGGTGGCGATCAACGCCAAATCTAAAGTTTCAGCAGGTCACCAGCGATGTATGGAAACCGGAAAGTCCGAGACACACACGTCCTCGTCGTTCATTTTGGCGCCAGACAAAGAAATTTGTCAGGCGGTTCCTTTGTTGTTGTGGTTCTGTTGACAAGATAGACCAGTGATATGTATATTATAGAAATTAAAAGGTTTCTAAACATCCCCTCCTCTCCCACCATTATCTCACTTTTGTGTTCGCTGGTACTATTCTGAAACCGTTTATCATGTCCTCCATTGTCATTTGTACCAAGTTAGTGTAGGTTTGCCTCACGTATTTCATGCACTGTACGTCTGTACCATCGTCGGCTCTTCGCCACCTGTTTTGTTCTGTATTAATTAAATTAATATTATTAATATTATTATGTTACTTATATTAAACGTATTATTATAAAGTATGTACTATGTATTAATACCTATCTATTATATCTACCTCATTCGCTTTGCATAAATATATGTAATAATCCTATATGGTCACGCAGGTGGATATTGTATTGTAATGGATGTCATCGATTTTCATGATAGTTAAAAAATTAAAAAAAAGTCGAGCGTGTAACAAGTACGCGGGGATGAAGTGAAACTTCTTTCAGTCATGCAACTGATATGAGGTATTGGAATAAAATAAAAAAAATACACTTTACAATTTTATATTTAATAGAACTGTTTTTTTTATTATTATTTATTTTTAACTAATGATAAAATGGGCTTATGATAGCTGAAATAAGTTATGTACGTTTTTGATTGTACATTATTAAGATATCGTGTGAAAATAGCATCTATTGTGGTTCCTGACCGCATTGTTGGAATTTTTGGATCATTATTCATTGATAAATTGAGATGTTCACGAAAAAATTGTGTTAATGGTTCTGATCTATCCGATGCAAAATTAACATTAAAGTCTCCACTCAGAATCATAGGCAGTTTATTTTCTCCCCTGCCGAGTAATAGTGTACCTTTGGTAGAATAGGCAATCAACGATCTTTTTATAAAATAAACTATATCATCTATTTTTTGATTTGGTTACAAACTGCTACAATGATGATGATTGGTTCATTTTGTCTTAAACAAGCAGCAACACAAAATTCACCGACTGGAGTAATTTTGGAATTATATAACTTTGATTGCCCTATTGTCATCTCAGTCAATGGAGTGACAATATTAACTATATCGTCGTTATTGTGATATATAGCTACTCCTCCAGATCTAACATTTATTTGATCCTCATCCAAATTCTCTACAACCATAAATTCATCATAAACAACCAAATCGTTTTCAACGTCATCAAGTTGATTACACAGAGCTTTCAAATGTCTATTCCGTGTACGAAATTGTCGTGCACGTTCTGCACCAGATACAGGACTTGGTGATATCGTTAATATAGCACCCTGGTTATTTTGCAATATATCTTCACGTTTCCGAATACGATACTGGCGTGCACGTTCTGCATCTGACATAGGTCCAGGTGATGACTTTAATACACCACTAACACTATTTTGCGATTTTTTTTCCTTTTGTCGATTTCGGTATTGTCGTGCACGTTCTACATCAGATACATGCAGATGAACTTCAGCTTGAACGACTACTCGGTTACTTTGACTAGGTTCTTTCGTAATGCATGTACCAGAAGCTTCGTCAGAAATGTTGCCAATTGAATCTGTAGTTTTAAATTTTTTTTTCGGTAACTTGATCTTAACACCATCTTTTGGCATGTTTGATTTAGCTAAGTTTTTAGCTAAGTTAATAAATATAAAAATAATTAATAATTTAATAATATAATAATATAATAGACTACCGGGTGTTAATAAATTACTATTACATTATATAAGCAGTTGCATTTTAATAGCACATTAAGCCGATATGGTTGACTAGTTAAATGTACAATATTTTTTTGTTTTAATAATTCACAAATATAATACCGATAAAACATACAGAAACAGAATTTATATATAAGTAGTTAATAATATAATAATTATGTAAAATGTAATAGTACTCACACAACGTAGAACGACAAACTGCTGGGAAGAGTTGAAGGCTACTAAAATAAAACAAACCACTGGCAAGGGTTGAGAACGTAATAGTCTATAATAAAAACGTTTTTATAATAATTCACAAATATAATACCGATAACATAGATAACATAGATAATATAGAAACACAGAATTTATATATTATATAAAAAAGTCTAATTAATATAATTAGTTGTTATTACATAGGTACTACAAAAATAATAAACCGGTTAACCGATGCACAGCTGGTCCGTGACGGCGGCTCGTGACGGCCGACCGTGCCCGATCGTTGTTTATTTTTTTTGTTCCCTCTGTAAAGAAGTTTCACTTCAATTATCTATACTAGAGTGGTTGACAAATGATTTACTTCACCTTCCGTTTAACTACCCCAAAATCGAGCCATGTGCGGGTGCGCATAATATATAATATAATATAATATATAAATTATAATATATCACTCATATAAGTCAACGCCTCTCCGTTTCGACTAGTTACGAATTATATTATAGTATTTACCTATTCGCAAACAGCTCGGTGTTATATGCCTGCGGATAATGTTATTTGTTCTGCATCGTGATATGGAAATAATCGAATACACACTGAAATAAACGTGCACCGCGTCGTAAGTTTGAGCTTCAGTGGTAGGTAAACATTAATAGGTAATGTTAAAAATCGTGAGTAGTACTTAGAAGACTCTCCAGGCGTGTTATTCGCACACCCCACACATAGAGTCGGTATATTATACTGTAATACTAAATAGGTGATCCGAGTTCTAATGTTGGACTCGATGGCGTATAATTGTACACCCCAATTTTTTGTATACAATAATATTTATATTAAAATTAATATACATATCATCAGCCTAATTCGCAATATTGTCCTAACTCCAAAAATGTGATTTTGGAATTAATTGTGATTAAAATTAAGGAAAAAACTGCATTGTATGATAAAGTTGTAACTGATAAATTGTAACATTTTATCCTCCATATGACATTGATTATTAATAGAAATGGTCGTATCTTCGATGTGATGATTTTAACAATTAGAAAAAATCATAACTCCATATTAGCATTGTAAAAATTATGAAGATAGGATATTTGCGAATTGAGAGATGAGATAGGAAACTTTCCGATGAAATGTTTTTCCTTTCTCCTGAAAACTAGTCAATATGGAGTTAAGTGATTTGCGAATTAAGATGACGATAATATCTGATTTTTAGATGTTTTTAAATATAATTGAAGACCACATTTTAGAACTTTTGAGATTTTCGTATTGCATTAGAAGTGTCCTTGTGGCGATATAAACTTCCGTTTTTAAAATGCTTCCATTAAGAAGAACTTGAACGCTTAGACATTTTAGTTTTAAGTACAAAAGATATCCAAACCTTTATATCTTGTACCGACGACTATGGAGTATTGGTTGACATACTATTATTTATATTGAGAGTGATGAAACGGACAACTCACTGGAGAGTTGACGTGTTTCTGCGGAAAACACAGCACCGTATACATGAGAAATCGAGTGAATATCCAATGTTGTAAAATATTGAATTTCAGACGCTCATAAAAATTTAATTTGACTTTCTTATAGACATTTTTTTTTTTGATAAAGGTAGATAATCTAATAAGGAATCTTGTATTCCATTTTCAAATCTTAGATTTAAAAAGAAAAATTTTTACGAATTCTTAATTCAAAATAATTTGCTAATTGTCGTGATTTTTCCATATTTTGTCAATTTTTGAACTTTAAATGATTATAAAAAAAAATTGTGACTAAGGATTTTTAATATTTTTCATCTGCCTTTGAAACAATATACTAGGAGCCTTCTATTAAATTTTCAACTTTTCGCAACCAACAAATAAAATTTTATTGATATTTTTAGAAAAAAAACTAAAAAAAGATGGAAAATGAAAATGTCCCTAAACAGTTCAAAATATTTTGAAAATGTTATCGTGTATACAAAATGCAAATATAAACAACCAGTGAAAATTTCATGTATATACGTTCATTTCTTTTAGAGTTACACCAAAAACCAAAATCGATTTTTTGGAAAACCGATTTTGCCTAAAAATTCCCGTTTTTCCTTAATTTTTATGTTGTTTTTCCCGGTGCTTGTGAAAACTACTGGGAAATTTTTACTTTTGACCCCCCCCCAAAGTACCAACTAGATTCACTTTCCTATCAGAAAAGATACTGTTGAAGAAAATCCAAGCACTTTTACTGTCCTAAAACGTGATGACAGACACAAAAATAAAAAAAATTAAAAAAAAACACACATCATTGTAAAATCACTAAAATCACTAAAATCAATAGATTCATCGTTTCACTCAGAATCTAAAATAGATTAACTTTTTTTAAACTGAGTTAAGTTAGTATTTTTTTCTATATTAACTTTTAACTTATCGAGTTAAATTTATAATTTGTTAACTGCTAACTTTTAACTAATCGATCTTGTGTCCTCTTAACTTAATTTAACTTGAGTTAATTATTTTCATTAACTTGCCCACCTTTGGTAATAGGTAGGTACAAAATCAGAGCTCCCAATTACCATAAATAAGCCGGAGCCCCGTTCTGGATTGCGGACTAGCGGTGCGGGTCAGTCTGATCTTGCGTTTTTATATTATGATCGGAGCGAGGAAGTTTTAATTACGTCTACACAAAAGGATATTAGAGGGCATTATAAGAATCTTGCAATGGTTTTAAAAATTAAAAGTTGGCGAAGAAAAAGATAATATTTGACGAACTCGTGATTTGCCAAAATATTGTGGATTAAAATAATGACATTTTCATTCTACGAATTTAATAGCTATCTATATACAAAAATGAAATATGTATCATTGATTATAAATAGTGTAAAGTTGTTGTGACTATTGACCTGCGTATTATGTTGTCTCTGTCTACACAAGCACGGCATAGCAAAAACGTTTTGGCGCGGGAAAGAATAGATAAGGCTACACTCATAACTAAGAAACGAAATTTTCACCACATATATAGGAGAACCTATTCCAATACTTAAAACCCATGGGTTCGCGTGCCGGAAGAGCCACAGACTAACATTGGTTATGGTAACCTAGTTATCAATGGTTACGTTATCCTGTTATCTTGTCAATGTATTTGAATTAGGAGTACGAAATGACAAAATTTGAATTATTAAACATTTTACTGAGTAGTGAGTACACTATTCAATTTTATTAACTTTTGTGGCAGGTACGGTACAATTTATAATAAATGGTATGATCGCAAAAGGTATTGTCATTAAATTATTACTACTATATATAATACAGTCTCTGGACACGCGAATATTTGTTGAATGGCCTATCCTCTATATATTATCTATGATTATATGACACAATTTTAATCGGTGTTTTTCTTTATAATGTTCGATGTCACAGCCAGTGTAGGGGCTACGCCCCAGTGGCGTAATTTTGGGGTTGGGTGCCTGGATAGGAGTGATTTCCCCTGTCTGATAATAAAAATACCCCTATGGGTCTCTATTGTCCTCAATTTACTTGCAGAAAATGTCTTTGAGAATATGCTCAATATAAATTCTATATTGAAAATAAATTAAAATCAGTTAATATATTGAATGATTGAATTTTAGTTAGGTATGTATGTAGTTATTTGTGCCTATACTGTATGATAAATATGCAAGATAGCAATTGTAATAAAAAAAAAATGTTGTACGTAACCACATGAAAATAGGATTGCGAAGTGAGCTTTTTTTTCTGGGCTAAATAAAACATTTTACATTTGCCTGTTGGGGAGCCCTTTTTTCCAAATCTCGGACTGGGTCTTTTCGAGCCAGTCTGATATTGGCAAGGCCTACATAAAGCGCGAGTCCCTAGGCGGGTGCCTAGTTTGCCCCCCCCCTTCCGCTGTCCCGGCGACAAGTGAACCAAGGGTACCTCTCTGCTGTATAAATCATAGTATACAACTAAACAAAAAACGATTCAGAGAGGTAATAGTAGGACAGTCTGCATACCTATACTTTGAATAAATAATCAAATATTCAAACTTAATAACTAAAAAAAAAAACCTAGCCAAAAATGGCTATAAATAGAATTTCTTGCAAGTAAACTTGTTTTTTTGTTAAAAGTTGATAAATCTTGATGAATCTTGTATTAAATTTTCTAATTTTATCTATGAAAGAAAACGAATTGAGAAAGGTCAAAATTCTAAAATCAGTTTATCAGAAAGAATGATTGTGGATTTCCGCACAACTTTTTTACACTATTAACAACTTATGTGGAATTTTGTATGATATTTTCAGGTTTTTTAATGAAGCAAAAAATGATTTTTCTACTTTAAAATGTTGATATTAACATCTGATGAAAATGTATCTATGATTATTAGTTTTTGAGTTAAATACACCAAAAAACAAAATCGATATGGTCAAAAATCGGATTTGCGTAAAAATTCTCATTCTCCGACGATTTTTTTTTTGTTTTTCCGTACGCTTTTGGAATATACTGACCTCGAGATGCACTAACTATTACTATTTGTAATTTACTCATTCATTATAGACTACAGTGGCGCCCAACTCTCCACCAAGTTATGGTTCAAATCACATATGACTAGGTACCACCACCACCACTTCTATTGTTACTACCGTTGTGGTTAATTTGGAGAAATAATAATTTTACACACACCTCAATTATTTTTAAATAGCGTAACAGTGAATAATTAATAAATAAAATGCAGACTAATCAAATATTATGTAATTCAGTACATTTTATATTTAGAAATAAATTTAAACATTCCTTTAAATGATAATAATAATGAAATACATTTTTATAGTATTAAGTAGTTAGTACCTATTATAGGTTATAAACTATATAAGATGTTTCTTCAAAACTGAACTGCAGTTAGCAAATATATCAATAACTTGACCATTATCAATCTCTATATCTGATTCACATGACATTATTAATAATTGTTCTAAGCGATCCTGTGATATTGTTGTCCTTAATCTATTTTTAACTATTTTTAACTTAGAAAAAGTTCTTTCAGGCGTCTTACTTGCAACAGGTAATGTACATGCAATATGTAAGGCGTCATAAAGGCATGGAAAAACATTTTTTAACCCTGCTTTATGACACACTTGAAGCATATGTAGTAAAGTTCCTAAGTTATTATGTTTGTGTACATACATCCCTCCTTCATCTTCATTCCGATCTGAATCTGGACTCTCTTCACTTTCATGTTCACTATCATTGTTACTGGTATATTTTTTGCCATGGATATAAGTTTGTTGAAACCCTACTGCATCTTCAAACTCAAAAAATGATCTAGAATATTGTATATACTCTGCCCTCAAATCTTCATAATTTACAAAATTGCAGTATAAATTACAGAATGTTTTAAAAGCGTCTTTAGGTAACATTGTAGGATCTTTTTTAGTTTGTTTTAAATGAGCAGTTGAAAAAAGTGAAATATCTTTTAATAAATGTTGACCTGTTGAATGAAATCTAGCTGCATCAATTATCATGAAATAAGTGTTGACTTTAAATTCTTGTTTTGGATCTGTAATAACATAGTCAGGATTAAAATCACCTGCCATTAATTTTTTTCTTCTGCAACGTTTCACTGGCAGTGAAGTAAACTCATAGTCAGATTTTTCCATAAAAATAATTGCTTCATTGCCAGTCATTTTGCACCATTTTCGCATAAACTGTTTTCAACAGCGTGAAAAATATCTTCACCTTTTGTAGTTCCTTTCAAACTTATCAATTTTAACATTTCTTCAGTTATTCGAAATGATTCATTTACTCCACGGACGAATATTACAAGTTGAGCTGTATCTGATATATCTGTACTTTTGTCAAATGCAATAGAAAAATATTTGAAATCTTGAATTCGATCGCGTAGTTTTACAATAATTTCGTTTGAAATATCATTAATTCGACGACATACTGTTTGTCGGGATAAACTTATATTCGAAAATCGTTAATTTTTATCAGGTAAAATATCCTTTGCTACAGCTTCCAAACATTCTTTTACAAAGTCACCATCTGAACATTTTTTCATTTTTTTTGCAATCAAAAATATGACTGAATAACTTGATTTAACGATATTAGATGGTTGCTGTAATGCTGAACTAAACATTTTTTTGTTGAGTTTTTAATTGTGACATAAATTCCCTGATCTTCGATTGTTTCACTTCACTACTAAATTTCAAATAATCATTATGTTTTATTTCATAATGCCTTTTAACGTTATACTCTTTAAATACAGCGACTGTTTCTCGGCAAATCAAACACATTAATTTTGTGTTTTTAATTATAAAGAAGTACTTTTATTCCCACTCCTCACTGTACTTTCTATTTTCGTCTACAATTTTTCTTTTCTTTGCACCACTCATATTTAAAATAAATAATAAAATAATAAAAAAAGTACGTGGTACTTAAATATTTTTCCACACTGAACGCACTTCAACAGTCACAGTGAACTGACTGCTATTAGCCACGTTTTATTTTAACAATACAATTTGCTATAAGCTGGTATCTACTCGTATATATTTTATCAGATTAGATTAGAATTATTACTTTTGTTGCGACTACATTGTTAATAATACAGATACCGCGTTGCGCGGCCATTCCAGGATATTCTATCGGCACAAAAATAATTTTTTTTTGGAAATATTTGATAAATGTCGAGGGCCGCGGGTTGGCCATCCCTGTATTAGTAGGTAGTTACTTTATTTTTTAATTATTGTAGTTAAGTGGGTCTAGAGGTATCACAGGAAAAAAACAGACTAAGCTTAAAGCTCATGCTGGTACAAAAAATCATCTTGTGTTACTAAATGGTTAGGACATAAGAATACTGATACCATTGGCAGTGTGCATACACAATTATCAACACAACAAAAAATAGAGGTTGAAGCTAATAAAAGTTATATAAAACCATTAATTGATATCACATTATATTTAAGTTGCCAGGGGCTACCATTTAGAGGCCACGACGAGTCTACTGAATCATTTAATAAGGGTATCTGGTATATTTATATTTTTTAATGTAGGTATAAAATAATTATTATAAATTAAAATATACATAACTTATTTACAATATAATTAGTAAATTTTTAAATTATTTATTAATGTTTAACTTTTTTTAGGGGATTTCAAGGAAGCATGTCAATTAATGTCCAAATATGTACCAGTTTTCTGTAAAATTTCTGCAAACTACAAATTGCACTAGTCCTTTACTTTAAAATACAATTATTGAAATGTGTACAAAAAATGTAAGAGACCAGATAATTTCAGAAGAAGGAGATGGACAGATGGTGTATTTGGTATAATGTGTGATGAAGCTAGTTAATATATTTTTAAACATTAAAATAAATAGTCTTACCTTTAATTTACTCAAGATATGTTCTTATTGAACTATAGTGCCATAATAAATGTGTTATACCTAGTGATGGGTAAATTCCCGGTACTTAAAAGTGAGGGAATATTCCCTAGTAATATTTCGGGAATTTTTAATAAATTCCCAAATAATGGGAATTTTACTATAAATTTGAAAATTCTAGTAGCCAAGTCAAAATGTAATTATACCCAATCCAAACACTGCCCAAATATAATTGTGGCCTGGTGTGGCTTGCTAATGACCTCAGATTTTGTAGCATTAACTTAATTAAAAATAAAAATAAATAATAAAATATAATTGTCCTTATATTTTTATGAATAATATTATGATAGTACCTACTTTTCTCAATGAAAATTGAAAAATAATGTCTTTTACCTTTGTAGTATCTTCTACACAAAAGTTGATAGGTATTGAAGAAAATATCTGTTAAGACATTTAGTTTAATTTTTTAGGAAAAACATTAAAAAAAGTAACAAATTTCCAATAAATTAACTATAACTAGTAGCTATATTTAATAATAATAATACAAAATAAAATAAATATGAAATACTCCATATATTTAACAAAAAACTTAATAACTGAAAAATATATTAAACATTATAAAAAACGTTGTTATGAATTATGTTATCTAGTGAACCTCTAACAGTGTGGACTAATAAAACGGAAAAAAAAAAATTCCCAAGTTTGGGAAGAAATATATGTTGTGGAAATATTCCCGATAAATTCCCAATTATATATTTCTTTCTTTTGGGAATATTCCCAAGGCACATCACTAGTTATACCAGCTATAAGTTTAACAATTATTATTGATTAATTATTTATATTGCAGATGCTATAAAGAAGAGCAAATTATCTTATGTATACGCTATTGTAAAGAGCTAGACATGACACGGTACGCAGCGGCAACCAGTACAAAATACAGCGACCGGTCTGCGCTTTTGACAACCACCACCACGGGTTACGAGCGCGACATCGCCAACTCTCGCACCACGCCACAGATGCATGGCGGGACGGGAAGGCGAGTCGCGCAAGACGAGTACCGGCCGCCGGTGGCTCGTTCTCTCTCGACCAACAACCGTTCGTCAAATCACACGTACGCCGTAAAAATCCAAGCACCGAAAAACTCCGGTTCGACCTCGCTGTGCGTTTCTGTCACTTTCTTTTCTGTTATATTGTAAATAAACGTCCCGAGCGGACACTTTTATTCATTTTCGGACGTGTTGTCTCTGAATTCCACGATTGTGAATAACCCCCTCACAATACCTCCATACCACACCGAGACGGGCATACCGCGGACACCAAATCACCACCGCCGTGGCCGCGTCAGACATTTATGAAAAGTTCATTGGTTTCATTAACTGCCCCGAAAGTCAAAATGCTGACTCTCTTTGTGAATAGGTATACACTCAAATACTTGAAGGAATGTGGATTAAACCCGAATGCTAAACTGGTAGCCCAGTCTTATGATGGAGCTAGTGTTATGTCTAGGAGATTTAATGGCGTAAAAGCTTTAATAAAATGTAAATTTCCATATGCCATTTATACACATCGTATGGCTCCTTGTCGTGCTTGACATATGTAAAACAGTTAAGGTATGTGAAAATTATAAATATTGTATCATATTTTGAATATATTGTGTATTATTAAATAAATCTATTATATTGTTTGGTTTAAAGGAATCAAGAAATGTTTTTCATACACTAGAGTTATTTTATGTTCACTTTTATCAACCAACAAGAAATAAAAATCTCATCGACATTCAAAATAATTTAGGTATTAAAAAAAAGACTTTAACTCGACTTAGTGAAACAAGATGGAACTGTCGATATAAAAATTGTGAGGCAGGACAAATTGTTAATACTAACTTCGATTTGAAAAAAAATAGCATTTTAATTCTTAAGTTTAAAGACATTTTGCATTTAACAGTATGAATATACACGGGCATTAATAGAACAGGAAGCGCGCTCTGGTGACTATAGAAGTATGGTAATATTTTCAATCAAGAGTCTATACGTATAGGGGTCCAGAGTGACGACACTTTATCAGTACACCTTAATGCTGGTATAAATTCCCCAGGACGTGTCCGAGTTGTTGTTTCCCTTTTGTTGATACAAATTGTAGAACAAAAATCATAACAATTTTTTGCATTTAAATTAACTGTAGGTGATGTCTGTTTTATGCAATTTAAGTATGACCTCTGGCTGCAAATGCGCTTGTCATACTGCACCAGTATTTTGTCAAAAGGAAGAGGCGACCTATCATTTTTCAAATTTCCTAAATATCATTCAAGGTAAGGGTTAAACTCTGGCTTTTGGGTCTGGAAAAAAAAAACGGGAAAAACTTTCTAAGTCCATATCATACCTATAATATTTTTCTACAGCAATACTCCGCAGTGTTTTCATAACAATTATTTTATATACCACAATAATAATTTAATACTACGTAATAATCGCAAAATTATTTTAAGTTCAAAATAATCAATAATCAATTTTATATAACAAGACATATATTCACGCGTTCATTTTCTAAGTCCAAAATATCAACTGATTCGCTGAACGGTTTTTCGAAACCTCTAGGAAATATGCACGTATTGTTAGTTTCGATTTTCCTACGGCTTGGGTCTTGGAAAAAATGTCAAAATATCGAAAAACGTCTAAGAGTATTCGTATACCGTTATAGAAAAATATCCTGTAGTCGGATTTTTGATTTTTCGATTTCCCGACCGCTTTTGACGGATTAAACATGGTGTCGCGGGGGGAGAGCATACCTGCCCTTCGGGCAGACGGATGACCTGACAAGTAATTTTAACCTTGTTAGTTGAAGTATCACAAGTATAGTGGCTAGCTGGTCTTCAAACTCAAGGGAACTATACTCTGTACCAAATAAGAGCGCACCGGGCGGCGCACGAAAACCGGTCGAAACTCGCGCATGTCAGAGAGCGCTGCCGCAGCATATTCCGGCGCCGGCCAGGTCAACTCTGAATACAGAGTGTTGTATATTATCACACCAATTTTAACGGTGTACGCGGTTAGGCGTTGTTATATTTTTTGCGCGCATTGGTGAATATTTTGAATGTTTTTAATATTATATTGAGTTCAATACCTATGTTAAGAAAAAAAAAACGAAAAGTATGTGTATTATTTTACTGATTAATACGCGTGAAACGCATTATTACTTCAGCTCCCTGTATTCTCTACCGCGGCGAATCCGACCGACGATCGGCGACCAATCACAGAGCGAATAGACTCGACCAGGGGGTCCAGACGTCGCTCCGCGATTCATTTGGATGCGCCAACGCGGTGCGCTCTTATTTGGTACAGAGTATAGAGTAACATAAGTCTATAGAAACTCCCTACTCCTGCCGGCTCCGGTCACCAAACTCGAGGCCCTGCGGACCTCTCGCTGGATGGGGGCTCGGCCCCCAAACCCACTGGGGATTAAATAGTAAATCTTTTGGGAGGGGTGGCGACCCCTTCAGGTTCGCGGGGGGAGAGAGCATACCTGTCCTTCGGGCAGTAGGATGACCTAACAAGTCAATTTTTTTTTAAATCTAGATAAATCAACGTTTTACAAACGATGGCACCAATGTAAAAGGCTAATTTACATAAACTAAGTTTTCAGTTTATATTATAATCCATAAACACACTGTATTCAGAAAAATAAAGTTATGTTGTATAGTATGTTTAGTGATAACACGTCTTGCGGCACTCGTCGCTGTGCTTATAGTAGTGTTGCGCGCATGCGTATAAACGTAAAATCGCAAACTTTGGAAGGCTGTAACTTCCAAAATAATCATTTCCGCAAACTAATTTTTACACCATCGTTTTAAACTCGTCGAAATACATAGGTTTCCGAAAAAAAAAAAATCGAAAAAATTCGAGTGGGCTCTAAACTAGAATTGTTTCTAAAAGTTTAACTTTTTATAAATTATCAACTACCAAATAATTATTAAATTTGATACATTTTGTCGAAATTCGAACTTAAATGCTTATAAAAAAAAAATTATGCCTATGCATTTTAAATATTTTTCAACTGCTATTGTAACAATATATATCAGGAGCTTTGCATTAAATGTTCATGCTTTTTTATAATAATAATAAGTTTATTTGTTAAATTTATAGTTTAAACTTGAATTGTGGGCATTAGTGTCCAAAAACTGTACTAATTATAGGAATAATGACATTTGACTTAGATTTAAGTCTGGTAGAATAATTATGACTTGGTATAGCAATGTAAATAAAGCTTGAGAGTAAATAAAAACTATCTAATAAACCATATTGTGTCGAGATTTTTTTTGTTTTTGCAAATTACCAAACTTTAACTTTTCACGAAGTTAAGTTAAGTTAACTTTATTATTTTAAAATAACTTTACTTAACGAGTTAAACAAAATCGTTAACTTTCCCAGCCTTGTTTAACTACATGCATTGCCACATTGCGCATAAGCTCGCCACATATCACTGCTTATAAATGGATCGTTTTGTATTTATTTTTACATGATTGGTAGCAACGTATCGGTTGACGTAGTTGTAATTAAATTATTATTATTAAAACGTCATAATTAAATACTCTAATTTACAAGTCTCCAGGAACAGGCTATGATATCCGCCCGATGTGCGTGATAGACCTAGTCAAAACAACGTGTTTATTTTTAGCCGTCTTAGGCGTATATTCGCTGAAATGCCGTCAAGTCGTTATTCCGATTTCAGTTTTCTAATCGTGAAGTAGTGTTTTGTACTCTTGTAATTATACGTTTACTATCCTATTATGGATATTAACACGTTGCTTCAACAAAATTGACTCTCAGTCTTTTCATTAGGAACCTTTTTAGGACCTGATGTAACTGAGGAGCAACGCATTGTATCTGGAAATCATATTTTCATATTTTGGCATTATTCCAAATGAATTTGATGTACCTGAATGTCGATGTGGAAGACCGATGTATAGAGTCATTGATTCAAGTAGGAAATTAGGCTATAGGTTCAAATGCGCGGATGGCCATAGAATGAATCCAAACAAAAATACTCTTTTGGAATATGTTCATGTTGCTGGAGAATTAGGGTGCAATAAAATCGTACAGATGATTTATTTGTGGCTAACTAATTCCGATACAGCAACAATCCAACGAGAGGTAAATTAATTTTGAATTTGTTTAATATATAATCACCATTTTACCACGCAAACGTATGAAGAACTATAATAATTATTATTACCTATTGTATAATTGTATTATTATTAATTAGATGATATTATTGTGAATTAACTAATTTATTTACTTATTTTCGCAGAATTTGAATAAATAAATAAATATGTTTTTGAATAATAGGTGAATATATCTACAGAAACAGCGGTTGCTTATACTGAATATTTAAGGGATGTAGCTACTAAAATAATGAACCATGACTACCTAATGATCGGCAATGAACACGATATCGGGAAAGTATATGAGACTCATTTGTTCAGAGCTAAATACAACGTTGGACGTGTTATGGCATAGAATGCTGTGTGGTTATTTAGTAATTGAGAATAAAGATAATAAATCATAAATTAATAATTTGTGAGATAATAAATACAGAAATTTGTAATATAATGATTAAGGTGGTATAAGTCGTACTACCAAACAAGTATTTGGTACTATAGTCCCGGACAGGTCAACCGACACTCTCCTTCCGCTGATGCAAAAATACATTCACCATGATGCCTTTATAGTTTATATGTAGTGACATGTGGAGGGCATATGGTCAATGTGGCAATGTATTTAGGTAAATATTATAAAGTAATATATAAGTATTATAGTATTATAAAAATGATAATAAAAAAATAAAATAAATTTATTAAAATAATAACCAAATAAAATTTAAAAAAATATATGCAAGATGAAATTTACCTAACATTTTTTTTTAAAGTAATTGATATTTTTAATTAATTTTAGTGGTCATGGAGTGGTAAACCACTCGATAAACTTTGTCGAGCCTCCAAAAAATGAGCCACCAATTTGGGTAGGGACTGGCAGATTTAGCTAAGAGTGCTTAGATAAGCAGTGTGAAGGAGTTCGGCCACCAAACCAAGAACCAATTCGCTACCACACGCAGCATATAGAAGGATCGTGGAGGGAATTAAAACGTATCTTAACAAGATGCAATTGCAAGCGGGTAGCAGATTCGTACATTGGCGAATGGATGTATCTATAATTAGATACTAGAATTAGTATGGATACTAAATCGCTTTCCTACAACCAGCGACCGTTTCAAAAGGTTCATGGACGACGTTGCAAGGGCATATCCGGGCATTGGATACGAACCAATGAAACGGGGCATTGACGATTGCCACTGTCCAGAATGCTAGAGGCACCTTGGTAAAAAAAAATGTTATGAAATATAATTTTGTATATATCTATGTTAATATTATGGCCCGATAATTTTAATTTTTTATTTCCACAGATAACTTCCACCATCAGCCACTGCGTTATTAGCGCACTCATTTAAAACGGCTCTTTTTAGGGCCACCACATTTTTAAGTCCATATAATTATATCAGATTAAATAAATATATTATTATATATTTAAAAAATATGATATAAGAAATTAAAATAAACAATATATTTATTAAATACAACAATAATTATAGTTGTTTAATATATTTAATAAAATAAATAATGTACATTTGGTGGGCTGTTGTAATAAATTTTTTTTTTTATAATTTCAAGTAACGCGAATGTAATTTAAATAAAATATTTAATGTAACGACTAACAAATAACGTACTTTATTACGACATTCTTTTAATAATAATAATAAATTAAAAACCGAAAAATTAAAAAATCCAACTACAGGATATTTTTCTATAACGGCATACGAATATAAAACCTCTTAGACGTTTTTCGATATTTCAACATTTTTTCTCAGACCCAAAAGCTAAGGGGGTCCGTGAGTTATGAACATTTTAGAATATGAATACTTTACATACCCATAACTCGCTTAAAAATTAAATATCGTAAAAAACCAACGAGAGAACACAGATAATGCTGTTACCTAAAAGTTTGATAATAGGTCGATTCACTCTAATATCAAAACTGATAATACCCTATTGAAACTAGCAAACGAAAATTTGATATGTCGTTACGTGTGCAAGACGGAGACAACACATCCGGGTGAGACGTCCTCTTAATGATTCAAATTCACTTATTTTAACTACAGCTAGTTCAAAAAAAAATAATGTATTTTCATTGAAAGTGTTTAAAAATAAAATAACACATAGTATATTGATAGTCACATTCTTTGACTAGAAAATTCATAGCTACATCGGTCAGTCTTTAAAAAATTATACTGTTTATAATAATAAATAAAAACAATAACAAAAAAAATAATAAATAGCATTATTTCTCTTAATAATGATTTAGAATAGATGAATATAACTGAAAAATAAATTTTGTGAGCTTCTTAACTTTAAAGTAAAATATTAGAAAAACATAAGTATTTTAAATAATTTAAGGTTGATTTTCTAGCACAACCGCAATTCGTTGGAGATAACTATTTTTTTCTCTAAGAATATCAGTTTTCTAGTCAAGTTTAGATAGTACTCACTCCTCATACTAAGTTTTTTATTTGCCAATACAACTAAACATACCAGCATTATTATTACTTTCTTCTAATATTTTGGCAGTTGTTGACTTTTTTTGAATATTTGAATACCTATCAGTGCAGAATTATAATAAAGATATAAGGTTATGCAAATATATTTTAATTTTTGATTGCATACTTTTTTTATTTGACTGTGCACAAGGAATGCTAGTGTTAGAGTCTATAACTGTGGTACTAAAGATGGGATGATTCGATCATTTGAATGATTCGAATCATTCGAATCGAATCAGTCAAATGATTCGTTCATTTGATTCGTTCATTCGGTCACTTATCTAAATTGTTTATTATCGTTCAAAAGATTCGTTTGAATGAACGAATGTTTCGTAACAGTATCATACTGCTACGAAACATACTGTCAGACGTCAGTATGACTTTATGACCCATTATCAACTATTTTTTTTTAGTTTTTCTAATGATCGATAATCTTATATCATCAATATACACAAGTGACAAGCGTAGCGTACCCAAATGAGTTAATAAAACAAAAATGTATTATAATATACCCATTTGAATACAATAATAGTGCTAAAAATAAAACACAACACACAACCAACTAGTGACTATAAAATAGTGACTACCTATGTCTACATATATAATTTGCTAATTTGCATTTTGCTTCTCTGAGAAATATTTTTTTCTATTAATACCAACAATAATGAAATTATAAAACTATTTTTAAGTGGGAATAATATTAACAAGTTGACTGCCATGAGTACCATATTTGGTACTCACATGGTTTGTCTCCTGCGCCACACATTTTAAACACCCTTTGTTCTACAGGCCTTGAGTATCAATTCTGGTACTCACACGGTTTGACTCTCAGGCTTTGAGGGTCAGTTTTGGTACTCACAATTTTTCATGATTACGTCACTGAGAACCATTTCTGATGCTCAATTCTTTTAATGGAAGAGAAAGAGGAGAAAATTTCAAACTGAATAGCACAAACAGCGCTCAAATTTAATGTTTTTTAAAATAAAAAAGTAATTATCAAAAAAAAAAAAAATATACAACTTGTATCAATATTATACTCGTTCAACTTTTTTAGTTAAAATATCAATAAATCAAAAATAAATATATTAAAAAAAAAATAAAATTATACACCTTGTATTAATATTAACTCGTTCAACTTTTTTAGTTAAAATATTAATAAATCAAACATAAATATATTAAATATAACTTACAAAAGAATAATACGAATTTTAAAATTACATTCGTTTTGCTAAATGCTTCGCTGAATGCGTTTTGAAAAAACAATCCAAACAGAGATATTTAGAACAGCCTGGACACATTGTTTGTACTTTGCGTGTAATTTTTTGTGCGTGTTTCCTTCCACCCTGTTGAACCATTTCGAAGTAACAATTTTAACATCTACCACGTTTAGAATTAACAATCTTATGCATTTCTCCTTCAGTTGGTGTGGGTAACATTGGGAAGTTGGCTTTCGTTAGTAAAGCTTGAACTATATATTCTCTAAATTCTGTCACACCCATTTTATTACCAGTCACAGCAAAATAATGTTAATGCATTTAATACACTTGTATTTAGTAGAATTTCGAATGCTATTTTTCGATACCATTTTATAGATCGTCGAAGTGGTGAATGATAAGAATTTCTCAAATCAGAAATATCAACAAAACCTTTTGCCTTATTATAATCCATTACCATTTGTGGTTTGAATAATTTTTGACCACGTTTGTTAGTTGTTTCTACTAAATTGTCTTTGTGTTTTGTTGACAACATAAGTACATCGCGCTTGTCCTTCCACTTCATAACTACGATATTATTATCATTTTGGCTTGATTTTATTTCACCTTTCTTTAATTTAGCATTTATTACGTTTTTTGGGTTAAACTTCCTGTTAGAACGTAATGTACCTACAAGATTTGTAGATCGGCCTAAAAGTTCATTTGCTAAACTGACTGATGTGTACCAGTTGTCAGTAAACATGGTTCTTCCCTCATCCAAATAATCTGCAGCTAACTCCATTACAATTTTTGTTGAAATTGCCACTCCCGGGATAGCTTCTTGACCAGCATATATTTTAAATCCAATAGTATACCCATCATTTATACATAATTTAAATATTTTTATGCCGTATCGATGCCTTTTATTTTTTATGTATTGGCGGAACGACAAACGTCCAACAAATGGAATCACCGATTCGTCAATACACATATTTTCCCCTGGTATGTTATATATTTTATATTTGCTCACTAGCATATCAACCAAACCACGAACTTAATACAATCGGTCACCTCTAGGACATGTTTGATTGTTTGAGCAATGAAAAGTTCTCAAAAGTAACTCGAATCTGTTTCTGGTCATATACTTAGGAATATGTGATTGATACATTTCATTTTTACACCAATATCTTGCCAAAGATGGTAGTGGATTTAACCCCATCCACATAACAATTCCCAAAAATGTCTTGATTTCCGGTATGTCAACATCAACCCATTTACTGAGTCTTGATTTTGGAGCACGAGGAGTTAAAAGTAAATTACGAGCATATCTGTTAGTTTCAATTAATAATAAATTTAAAACTTCGTCATCGATAAATAAACAATAAAAGTCATATGGGGTACCATCATAAAGTGTTTCGAGAATGTCTGGGTTAATTCCAAAAAACTCAGGATTGAACACAGGACTAGAAGTATGATTGTTTATTGGACCCCTATCAGACGTACTTGAAACAGAAGCATAATCATTTGTATTACTATTTGAAGCAATAATATTATCCGTATCAGAAGCGTAATTTTCATGATTTGCAGGCGAGTTATTCGAAGCAATATTATCAATATCAGAAGCGTAATTTTCATGATTTTCAGGTGAATTATTCGAAGGAATAATATCATCATCAGTATCAGAATCCTATATAAAAATGAAATAAGTAGTATACATTTTCTATTAAATTATTTCCTATTATTAGTTATGACTTAACCTTATACACGATAAAAGTTGTGCATTATCTAGTCAAAGACGTGGCTAGTGGCTAATTTTTTGGCGGCCTTTGGCTCAATATTTGCACAAAATAAAAAATAATAACAACAAATAATGATAAAATATCTATGTTAAAATGTTATGTGCCTGCTTAGTAAACCTTATACGAAAAAATTATTTTTTGTCTACAAGGAAAATCTACGAATCATAAATATGTTTTTAGGGACAGCAAAACACTAAAAAATAATAACTAATAATTAAAAAAAAAAAATAATAATAATTAATAATCAGTATTTTCTATGGTTACAAAAGCATAACAAAAATTGGCCTCGCAGAAAGAAAATTGTAACCATGCCAATAACATATTTATGATAAAACAATACACAAAAAAATATTATAAATTAGGCAATATTTACCAAAACAAAGTCGGGATCTGCATCACTGTCATCAAATTCAGATAAATCATCTGATGAATAAAGTGCTTGAACAATTTCGTCGTCGTTCATTGTAATAAATAACGCCACGAACGCGAAGACGGCGACGAGTCGAATGAGAATAAAACTGAATAATATGATACAATAGGCATTGAGTACCATATATGGTACTCACTCCAAATCGGTTTATTTTTATTTTAAATATTATTAAAATTATATAAATAAACAATAACGATAAGAAAATTATAAGAAATATGAAAAAAAAACCATGGCCCATGTTAGCGTCCATCCAAAAATACAACGGCGTGTGTGACAAACACAGTGAGTACCTATTCTGGTACTCATAGCGTTTGAGGACAGCTCTATAAAAACACCGTGGCAGTCAACTTGTTAAATGAAGAACTCTTACCATAATAATACAAAATTATAATTATTATTTCAATATTAGGCATTTGACAATTGACTATTGTCTATTACACAGTTAACACTATTGTTTTCCATAGTATGAAATTGTTGTGAGTGTAAATTGGTTTGATAACCTATATAAATATATATATATATGTACAATATTTTATTTTGATAATTTTTTTAACTATTTATTTATTGATTGATACATATTACATCTATTAACGGTAAGCATTGAAATAATTGAATTATTAGGTACCTAGTTAATAATAATAATTATTATTTTTTAGCAACCCTATTTTTTATTTAAAATTCATTATAATTAAATTTAATACATTTCTACAAAATTTATCTTGCTTGTTTTAATGTTATAATAATATATTATATTATATTATCTTAATTATATTATTAATTTTAGTTTAAGTACTAAAATTGATGTAAAAAATGAAAATCATAAAATTTACTTAACATTTCTTTGATAGCTTAAAATATCCATTAAAATTGTAAATCTTTCAGTCTCATACAAGAATAAAAAAATTAAAAATAAATAATATTATTATTATAAACATTAATACATAGATTTGTTATTGCAAACACTTAACAATCATGTTTTTTATTTTAATTAATAAGGTAAAACTAATTAAAATGCTCACAAAAAAAAGAAGTCATATTTGGAACCATTTTACCATAATTGATCAAAAATATGCAAAATGCAGTTATTGTTCCAATAAAGTTAGTTATGGTGGTGGTTCAAGTGGTAACTTAATTCGTCATATGAAAACAAAACATATAACAGTGCCACTTTAACGAAATGTGCGGCAAGAAGCTCAGGATCTAGTAACTGAGCAAAATGTTGATGATCCTAATAGCTTGGGAACAACTGTTTCTAATTCTAATCAGCTAACAAGTGCATCTCAATCATCAACAAATTCTGAACCAGCCCGCCCGTCCATAAGTACATCACAATCAATAGTTCGTCAACCAGTCCAGGCTTCTATGAATTCCTTCATTCAAAAACCTATAACAATTTCAAAGTAAAAAAAAATTGATACACAAATTTCAAAATTAATTATTAAGCATTATCATCCTTTTAGTTTAGTCGAAGAGACAGAATTTAAAAACTTAATAAATTTACTGGCACCTGGGTACACACTTCCGAGCAGAAAAACCATATCTAACAGTTTAATACCTCAGTTATACGAGTCTGTAGTAAGTGAAATAAAAGAAAATATAAAAAATATACAAGCCATTTGTCTTACTACAGATGCATGGACATCTTTAAATAATCAATCATTTGTAGCTGTTACTGCTCATTATATTGATGAAAATACAAAGTTGTCATCAATTCTGCTAGGATGTCACCATTTTCTTGAAAGACATACAGCGGTAGAAATGTCTTCTTTTTTAAAAGATATAGTGAGAAAATGGAATTTAGAGAAATTAGTGACAATGGTTGTAAGCGACAATGCATCAAACATCATTGCAGCAATTAAATTATGTAATTGGAGAAGTCTAGGATGTTTTGCTCACAGCATAAATTTAGTAGTTGAATCAGGTTTGAAATATGAGGATGTGAAGAGTATAATTGCAAAAGTAAAGGCCATTGTCCAATATTTCAAACAGAGTAGCCAAGATTTAATCCGTCTTAATGACAATCAAGTAAAAGGAGGTCATCCCATACTAAAATTAAAACAAGATTGTCCAACCAGGTGGAACTCTACATATGATATGATAAATAGGATTTTAAAAATAAAGGAGCCAGTTTTGTCCACATTGGCAGTCATAAATAATGATCTTAATAACATCACTAACTATGAATGGAATATTTTAGATCACCTATGCAAATGATTAAAAATATTTTATGATATAATAAATGAAATAAGTTGTGAAAAATTTGTATCCATATCTAAAGTTTTAATATTTTCAAAAGCAATGTCCAACTATGTCTTAGTTTACTGCAATGATCAGAGTATGCCATATGAAATAAATTCCGTGGCAAATATATTACATACAAAATTACAACAAAGATTCAATCAGTTTGACGATAATGATGTAGTCATACAATCAACCCTACTGGATCCGCGATTCAAAAAACAAGGGTTTGTAAATGACAGAAAGTATGAAATTGCCTATGAGTCTCTGTCACGTAAAGTTCAAGGAATTTCTATTGGGAAAGATAGTCAAGAACCAGAGATCAATACACCATACAGTGAACCTTCTGGATCTGAAACAATTTGGAAAGATTTTGATAGCAAAGTGAGCAAACTATCTGGTGGTGGCCATTCAACTGTGGCTGGTATATTAGAACTTGACCGGTACTTGGCTGAACCACTCTTAAAAAGAACAGCGGATCCATTAGTTTGGTGGCATGAAAGAAAATTATTATACCCAAAACTATACCTATTGGCATGTAGAAGGTTATGTATTGTAGCAACGTCCGTTCCATGCGAACGTATATTTTCAAAGGCTGGCTTGGTGTTGACTGATAGAAGGTCTAGACTGAATACAGATAAAGTTGAAAAAATATTATTTTTAAATCACAATTTAAGTTAGACTTAATTTGTTTTTTTTTATTATTACAATAATGATAATGTATAATGTTGTCTAATAGATGTAAGCACTACCTATTGACTATCAAAAAAATAATTATATATTTAATATTTAATAATATATTTATTTTATACTAATTAGTAATTTGATGTAATTTTTGACTTAAGAAAAAGAAGAATTAAACTTAAAATTAGTTTTAAACCTCAATAGGTATAATATAATAATTTATTAATTAATATTTATTAGTAATATAATGTTTTATCATCATAAAACTATAAAAGATATTTAAAAATAATAAATATTAAAATAACTTTATTAACTAATCAAACTTTATTAACAATTAAAAATGACATACCTAATCAGTCTTTTTCTTTTCAATTGATATTATGGTCTACTATCAGCACGTACTAAGATATACTTATCTTAATTCGTGACTATCAGAAATCAGTTATCAGTTATCACTAATATTACTACCGTGGTACTGTCTACTGCTACTACCAGCGCTTTACGCTTGAAATCAGAGTTGAGAATTTACGTCATTCGGTGATTCGGTCTTTTGACCGTAAACCGATTTGATTCGTTGGGTCATTATTGTTCTGTGACATCATCAGTCAAATCACTCAAACCGAACTGAATACCGAATAATCTAAAAACCATATGACCGAAACCGAATCATTTAGACATTACATTCGGTCGCAATTCGGTCACTAGACTGATTCGGTCATTTTGATTCGCTCGCGACCGACCGACCCATCTCTATGTGGTACTAATGTTTTAAGGTGGGCTCAAAGAGAAATTTTTCAAAAACTACATTTTCATCAATCTGTATTTCCTCAGTAAACAATTCATTGGATTCGTTCATTTTGTTTAATACTTTTATTCCATAACAGATAGGATCACTTTCATTCATATCTATTATAAAAAATTGACACGGTACGCAGCGGCAACCAGTACAAAGTACAGGTACCGCTGCGGACCGGTCTAAGCTTTTGTCAACCACCACCACGGGCTACGACAGCGCGACATCGCCAACTCTCCCACCACGCCAAAAGGCACGAGTACCGGCCGCCGCCGGCGGCTCGCTAACTAGTTCGAGCACCGTTGTACCGACAACACCCCGCGTCCATGTCGCACAACAATCGACGTCTACAATTCTACATTTGTATCTGCACATTTTATGCTGAACTTTATTATACCGTTTTCACCAAAATAAAACCATAACCATTACTCCGAACGATGGGTTGTGTTGTGTTTTTTTGTTTTGAAATACCGCGACACCCACAGTCACGCATCCACACAACCACCAGGGAAACAGGACCGGACTACCGCGACCACTATACCGCCGTAGCCCGCGTCAAAATGTAAATTATATAAGTCAACTTAATTAATAAGAATTAAAATATATTTAAAGTACCCGTTTGATTGAATATTGAACATGGTATTAAATGGGAACGGAATAAATTTTTCTGATAATTGGGAATATTTACAAAAAATGTTAGGTATAGACTTTTAAAATTAACATTGCTTATAACAGAACTAACAGTACTTTTATTTCTCATGAAAATAAAAACCAAATTTATTTTAAATAATATGGATAAAAGTATTATAGTATTTTAAGTACTTTCAAAATACTTTCATCAATAGAAATAAGTACTTAAAAGAAAAATTCTTTACAACATTGTCATTAAATTACCATCATCAGCATTATCAAATGAAAATAACACTTTTGAAGCCAAACTTTCGGTATGTCCAGATATGCTCATGGTATTAATAAGTTCTAAAGTATTATTCTCTACAAATAATAATGGTGTGTAATAGCCAGTTATTTGAGCAGTCTGAAGTGGTGACTGTTTAGTTTTAGTTTTTGTGCGATTGTCTTGAAAGGTCTACATAGGTACAATAAAAATACTTATTAAAACATTTTTAACAACATAATTAAACATTTAAATACTTTTTCATAGAAAGTTGTACCTAACCAATATATTTAATGGAATCTTCGTGATAACCCAAAAACCATTATATGCGGTTATGCGTGGTTATACGAACAGTGGCGTATATAGGGGGGTTTTGGCGGTTAACCCCCCCCACGAAATTGTTTGTTGGTACTGCACTCTTACGAATTTATTTGATCAATGTATCAACTAAAACCCAACAGCGCAACACGGGATAAAACAAAAATGAAAAACGCAGGCGAGGCGTATAAATAAAAATAGTTGTTCGCAATTTATATGAAATGGATATTACACTATTACTAGGTAATTGAGATAATGACGGACCGTCGTGCGACTCGTGCGTCGTCGATAGTCATAATATCTAAATTCTCGATAATATACTTATTAGTTATTGCGAAAAATAAGACGCGATGAACAGAATTTAGTTTGTTTTCTGACTTTGGTTGTTTCAGTACCTATATTATAGTCAATTCTATGCTTTGTGCGAGTTGCGTGTGTAATTATATGTACCATTTAAACGAATATTTCTGAATTCTGTTACAATCCAACAATCCACGAGGTATCAAGTTCTAAAAAGCATCAACTATCAAGTATGACATCACAACTTTCATTACTACAATTTTTTAATAAAAAAAACCGCTGTGCCCGAGCCTAATCATACTAATCATAGTGATGATATTCCTTCTTCATCAAATATTTTTAATAACACCAAAATTGAAAGCAACACTGATACAACTAATTTAACTGAACTAACTGAAATGTATGATATTGGTGTATATATTAATACAAGAATATCTAACCATAAGCTTTGTTTAATTAAGTATGATTTATTGAAAAAACCATGGCAGCCTCATACTTCATACAACTTTCCGGTAGTTTCAAAAAGAAAATTAAAATTTCAACTATCTTGGATTACTCGTTTTTCCTGGTTAGTATATTCAAAAAAACTAGAAGGTGCGTTTTGTAAAATGTGTGTATTGTTTCAAATGAAACATCGTTAAAAGTAGCTCTGTAAAAGTCGGTGCATTAGTTAATAAACCATTTATTAATTGGAAAAATGCTCTCGAATGTTTTACAACGTTCTCAAATGCTGACTATCATAAATTGTCAACGTTAAGAGCGGATGAGTTTTGTGATATCTGTAGCGTCATTATCGTTATCGATAATGGTGTACCGCGACCGACCCGTGTGGCTAGTAATATAATATGTGGTCTATCAGTGTTTGTTGCGAAGTTGCGTCGCGAACTACTGTTAAGTTATGTAATGAATAAATGTATGTATATTATGTATATCTGTTTAGTTATTTAATATATATATGCAAATACTACAAGTTTGTTAAAATAATAATTAAATACATTTTTTTAATCATTGAGGAACTTCTTGTCTGTTGTGTTATCCAAAATTTCAAATTTATACTTATAAAAGTTATTCATTGTCGACTTCAATAAATGTGGAGCATCAAATACATAGTAAATCTTTTTACCATTTACAAAAAAATATAGGCGTTCAATAGAAACATGCATTTTGTTTTCAAAACTATAAAAATTTTACCCTTGATCGGTGGTGAACACTTTAATATTGAGTTAAATGCTTTGAAGTCGAGAAATAACTGCAAATACTGTATTTTGCAGGGAAATTCCTGTACAACTATTATTTGTAAACAAATATGTAACTGGTTGCTTCCATTTGTAGTTTAAACTCCTTATCATGAAACATAAAACATGTTTTGGACATTCATAGGTTTTTGTGTCATAAGAATTATTAAAATCAATAATATAATCTTTGGACAGGTTATAAAATAAATTGGTTTTGATAGGCATTTCATCCACACAAAGAACTATATCCTTAGCAATTAGCATCATCTTTCAAGTTTTTCATCTTAAGTTCCAAACAGTTAAATAAAACATCGTTCAATCCTGGTACTATGTCCACTTTCTCTGTCACTCTGCGTAGTATTCTGGGACTTGGCAATTGTAAAATATTTTTCAAAAATCTATAAGCTATGGGTCCAAAAAAATAAATTGTAAGTGCCATTTGTATAAGTTGGCTAGAATAACGAAAACCTTGAGGTTTTCACTGTGACATTCTAACATAATTTTTTACAATCATGGAGAGGTTGGGCGGCAAATGCACATCACAAACTTCATAAAAATGATCAACAGAAGTAACGGTTTCTCTCGCAAGACAAAAAACACCCTAATAATTTATCATTAGCTTTGCATTATAAAAAATATAAGAATAATTTCACTAAAACTGTCAGACTAGCTAAGTTTAAATTTTATGAACAAAAATTCAGAAATGTAAGTTCTAATCCAAAATTGACATGGCAATTAATTAATGATGTTATCGGTTCTAAAGTAAGATTTCATAATGACATTGTCAGGCTTAAAAATAATGATTGTGAAATAAATGTAAAAACTGATCCAATAACAGCATCTAATATGTTAAATAATTTCTTTATAAATATCGCTCGGAATAATTTAAATAAAACATTATACCAGAGATAAGTCGTGTACATACAAACTTTTCTTTTAATGAGGTGTTTCTTAATAAAATTGAATCAGCAGACGTACTTGATATAATTAATAGTCTTAAAGAAGCTACAGCTGCAGGTTTAGATAAAGTATCAGTCAAAATCTTAAAACATATTAGTAAATTTGTAGTTGGAGAATGTGTAGTACCATTTATTCCGACAACGGAACCAACTTTGTAGGAGCAAATCGTCAGCTAAAAGAACTACGTGATTTATTTTTGTCATGGAGCTGGTGCACCAAACTGTAGTGGAAGTGGGAGTAAAATGGCAATTTATTCCTCCTACAGCTCCACATTTCGGCGGGCTCTGGGAAGCCGCCCTAAAAGCAGTAAAGGGTATTTACAGTGTTGAGAATAGATAACGAAAATTTTATCTAGATAAGATACAGATGATTTTATAAAAAATTATCTAGATACAGATAAAGATAAATATATTTTACATTTATCTAGATAAGATAAAGATAATCTAACTTTTATCTAGATAATATTATAGATAAAATTTTTTTTTAAAGTATTTTTAAATTGCAAATTTGCAGTTAGGCACACAATTTATTTTGTCGAAAAACTTCGTAAAATAATGTCTCAATCCTCAAAGTAAGTATCAACTTAAAATTTGCCGGTGAAACATGGGAATATGGTAATATGAGTATAATATTATATTAATAACATATACTGATTGCAGATTGGATAGTGTTCTGTAAAAACAATTTTATTAAAAAAAAAAAAAAATGAATAATTTATGAATATTTCGTGAAAAATGAATATTATAATTTAAATAAATTTATCTAGATAAATTCATCTAGATAAATTCATCTAGATAAGTAAATATGTCATCTAAGATAACCAATAGATAAACGGCACAATAGTTATCTAGATGAGATAATAGATGAGTAATTTTTTATCTAGATAAGTCTCAACACTGGGTATTTAAAAGACATTTGGGAAATGCTTCATTAACTTATGAAGAATTAAATACCTAGTTAGTTCACATAGAGGCTTGCCTAAATTCACGTCCTTTGACTCCCATGTCCTCTGATCCTAGCGATTTAAAAGTATTGACCGGGGGTCATTTTTTAATCGGTGGTTCTCTTACCGAGCTACCGGAACCAGATCTTTCGAATATTACGCCAAACCGTCTCCAACGAATCGTTCAGGTGACTCAAATATGGTCGAGATGGAGTACCGAGTATTTGAGCCAACTCCAAGGCTGCTCAAAATGGTGTAAGTCGAAAGGTCCACAGCTTAAACCGGAAGCTTTGGTCCTGATTAAAGAGGAAAATCTACCACCTCTACAGTGGGCGATCAGTCGGGTCATAGAAGTTTACCCTGGAAGGGATGGGGTGATCCGAGTAGAGTTGATCCGAACCAACAATTAAGAAGTCAAGCGTGCCGCTCGTTTCTTATGTCCGTTACCAATAAAAGATGACAATTAAAAAAAAATGTATCTTATGTTATTTTTTTTCAAATACCAATATGGTGTCGCTTCAACAACAATATAAATAAGAAACCTCTGCTATATTATTATTTCTATAAAACATACATTAAACATTCATATGAATAAAACAACTAAGCAAATCATTCTTACAGTGGCGTACCTGTGGGGGGGGGGGGGTGAAGGGGGCATTCGCCCCCCCGTGGGTCGTATAAATATATGTGACAATATATGAGAAATGTCCATTGTTAAATTTTTTTTGTGTTTTTATTTTTTATTTTTTTTCATGAAGTCAATAATAATAAATGATAATTGATAACAATGTTATCATGTCATGATCAAGCCCTAGATTTTAAAATATTTTTGTTATCTATAGTCGAATCAGGTATTATCATTTTGTTTTGGCGGTTCGACCACAGAATAGATAATAAAAGCATGTGATAATATATTTGTAGTACTCAATATTATTTTTAAAAAGCAATTGAATGCTTATCGCTTTTATACTTTCTACTGCTTCAGTACTTTAGTTTAAAAAAAAAGTTCTTTAAGATCAAACATTTACAGAACATATTATTATTTATTAAGATAAATTAATAATCTACAAAATTGGCTTATAAATCTAGGCACCTAGACACTTAGTACCTACCTGTCCTACCTACTGCTTTTTAATTATTTAAATTAATTATTTGTTTTATTTTATGCTTGTGCTGTAGACTAAAAACATGGCTACGTTCAAAAATGGGTTAGGATCGCTTATGCGGGCTTGCACTATTGCACATTTATCAAGAAATAAATATACCAGTGGACGAAATTATTGAACGATTTTCTCGTATGAAAAACAGAAAGCTAGACTTTGTATTATAAATTATAATTATAATAAAATTATTTTGTAACATACATTTTACTATATTATTATATTAAACAATAATTTCTATTTTATGTACCTATTAAAATGTTTTATTTAATAGGTATTTTACAAGTATGAAATTTCCATTAGGTTAGATTAGCTGTGACGTGTACATTTTTAAGAATAGGTAAAAATATATTTCGCCCCCCCCCCCCCATAAGAGAGACCTAGGTACGCCACTGCATTCTTAACTACTTTGTTTACAAACATAAAAAATAATTAAACATAAATCATGATGTATAAAATACTAACTTTTAAATCTTTAAGTGTAGATGAAGAACATTAGATAGTAAGTACTAAATACCAAGTAATCATCTATTCATGAACTGAAATATATATAATATACTACTAATTAGGTACTAAGTTATTAATTACTTCATGAATAAAATAATTACACAAATAGTTGCAATTGTCTAAATGTTTTAGGTGTATTTCTTTTAGTGAGGACGGAAATAGTTCACTTAATTCTATACATAATATTATACATAATTTAAAATATTTTAAATACTATAAATTAAATGATATCACATTATCACAATGAAACAAACAATAAACACAAACAACCAACACAAAAGACAAAAAGTTAAATCATTTTTATTCCCATCAAAACATACCTAATGGCTTATCAGTATTTAATTCAGTAGATTCTATTAACTTCTGATTGTGGTCTGAAGACATTTTTTTCTATATAACGTTACAAACAAACATAAAAAATAATTGATTCATTTTATTAATCTATTTATAATTTATACCAGTCACTTCTGTAGTTTGGAATTTGGAATTGAATACTGCATCTGGTGGATTGTCTAAGTCAATTTTATCTAAATGAATTAATATTTAATACTATAATGCTGAAAAATAATGTTTCAAAACATTGTGAGGCTGTAATGACACCGACCATAGAGGAACCAAAATCGAAACAATACTTAATATTAATAACATCAACATTCTCAACCATGGCGAAGTAACAAGAGTTAACTCTAGTAATGGCAACCTTTCCACCATTGATCCATCTTTTGATTTAGAATGGGACTTTATTCCGGAGCTTTCTAGTAGTGATTAGTATTAGGTAGTTGATTTACTGAAGTTAATAATGGGAATAATTAACTATAGTTTTAATTGTTTTTAGGAACGTTTAAACGAAAAATTCGAGAATTTTAATTTTACAGAATCTTAACACAGCAGCTCATGTTTATAAAATACTTTTTTTGAATAGTTTATTGTTTATATTTGGGACGACACAAATTTTTCTTTTAAAATCGGGCACATTATAAGTTTCAAACAATAGTTATTCTCTTTGAATGAAATTATATGATTGACCCATGTTAGTCTTCCACCACTTCAAAACAGATAAAATATTAGCGAGGTAAAACAATAAATACCTACTTACTAAATATTTCTGAATAATAGTAACTCTGGACAATAAACTCAGATTAAGCAAAGCATTGGAGAGTGTAGCGTTTCGATTCTGATAAGTGCAGCCATCACTAAATAAAATGGTTCCATGTCATAATATCTTCGAAATAATATCTTGATCAAAATATCTTTTGTGAAAATATCTTATGACAAAAATGTATTCGGTTAAAATATTTTTTAAACTGATTTTTTAAAAATGTTTATTCATATTATTTATTTATTTTATTTTTATAAATATATCGTGTACCTACAACATTATTTATAATAATTGTTTAATAATATAGTGTTAGTAATTAGTATGATCCTTATAAAAATATTATTGTAAAAAAAAACATAGAAAAAATTATAGTTGAAAAATTAATTATTTAAATTAAAATTAGTGATTAGTTAATATTGAACATTATAAGATAAACCTCTTAAATATTGAACTGTTGGTATTTCAGAGCAATTTTCCACGATTGCTTTTATTTTTTTTATCATGATCTCTGTACTTTCTACGACGTGTTGGACTATTTGTAATTAATTAAATAAATAAATTAAATAATATGAAATATATAAATACCTCTTGTAACACTTTGCTCACAATACATACCACCGGAGGTCTTCCGACAAATATTTGAGTATATAGAGATTAATTGATTACATGAATATAAATTTAAAAATTAGCTTAAAAAATATTTTGACTAAAGACATATTTGCCGTAAGATATTTTGCCACAAGATATTTTGACTAAAGATATTATTTCGAAGATATTTTGACCGGTCACCAATAAAATTATTTTGACTTTTTGTTCTTGAGCAATGTCTATTACATATTTCTGTAGAAAATAAACTATTATAGAGCTAAATGCATTAGCCCTTAACCCTCCTTCAGTCTCATTCCACAAAAAGCAATAGCCAATTTTTCTTTTCAAATCATACAATGTAAAATTGTGAACAATAAGCTTAGTTTTATAATTCAACGAAGAGACAAATGACTTTGGACAAAGTAAAACTGACTGCAAATCCATAGTGAATACTTCATCCATTGATAACTTATCATTTTCTTTCTCAAGCCTGGCTTCCTGCTTCATTTGATCATGTACTTCTTTTTTTTCTAATGAGAGATTACCAGTTTCATAAGCTGTACAAATGTCACATGCGTCTATTTTTGAAGTGAACAAAAAAATAAATATATTTTTGTTTTCTAAACTCATAACGAAAACGGGTTTACTCATTGGAGTTGTTTGGTTAAATACACAAAAGTCTTCACAATAAAATTTATTTAATGCTTGTTTATTCAACCAAATAGGTTCTAAATAAAGTTTTGATGTGTTTGCTCGACAATAGTGGCTTTCCATCTTTGGCAAAGAATCTTAAAACTTGTTTAGTAATGATTTTCTTTCAGAAATATTTAAGTTTTCAGTGTTGGAATTGGACATTTCAAAATTATCATCTTCATTATTATCAGAGCATTCAAATCCAGTGTCTGTTCTATGTTTTGAGACCAATTTCCTTACCATTTTAACACCAATCCCAAATGTGTTAATATACATTGTCTTACAAACTCTTAATTTAGTGTTATCCTTTAACAAGTAATATTCAATAGAAGACATTTTTTTTGATAAAGACAAGCCCCTCTTTCTGGCAGTAGGAACAATTTCGGTATAATTGGTTAAAAATTGTATTTGTGCTTCATTACTACCAAGTTGCCAATATGATTTAAATAAGTTTTTTCTATCAGTTTCTAAAATTTCAAGACATTGAAGTTTGGAGTTTTTATTTTTAAGAATACAGTTGCATGAGGGTTTTAAGGATTTAGCAGACTTTGGAACATTGTACAACCACCCACCATCAACTTTTTTTCTACCCAAATATTCTTTACCAGCCAATCTCTTTTTTTTGTTTATAAACTTACTCCAATCTTCTGGCTTTCCCCGTTTATTTCTTTTCTTTACAGTTACTTCTGCAGGTTCAACATGACTAGGTTCTTCAGTAGCAATGTCAAAAGTAGTATTTAAAAGACCTTGTACTGTATCATTATTGTTTTGTTCTTCAGTAGCAATGTCAAAAGTAGTATTTAAAATACCTTGTACTGTATCATTATTGTTTAGTTCTTCAGTAGCAAAGTCAAAAGTAGTATTTAAAAGATTTAATGAACCATTCTCTTCATTAATAACCTCACATGTTCCAAAATAGATTTCAGTATTTGAGATGATATCATCAAATATATTATCTACATAAATTTATAATAAAAAATATATTAATTATGTATCTATTAAATGCATTGATTTAAATTTATTTCAAAATGAATTTACTTGAAGATGAAGTTAACAATAGATTTCCTGTATTATTTGGAATAATATTCTGTTCTACTTCCAAGTGAACAACTTTTTCAACTTCTATACTCTCTGTTATCTCATCAATATTTTTTAATTGTTCATTAATAAAAAAGATCAACATCGAATACTACAAATAAACCAAGTAATAATCAATTATAATATTATAAATGATTATGAAATATTTTTAATTCTTATTCATATAAATCTACTTATTGCTTTAAATATTAATTAATTTAAGTGTTACCTTGAGTTTTCTCTATATTTTTAAGAGGAGCAGTGTTTATTTTTTCTGATTGTGTTAGAAGAGCCAATTGCAGAAGTTTTGCAGATCTTGTTTTCGAAGTCATGATTAATTTATTAATTTAACTTAAGTGCTTAAGATAAACTTTTTATAGTATTTTTTATTTAAACGGCATTATGAATACGTAAATAATAAGTATAAAAACTAAATACTTAATACCTAGAAAATAAAAATAGATATAACAGTTGATAAAAGAATATTATCATTGACAACAATTATTTATAAAATATTTCTCTATGGAGATGGAACTTTTTCTTCCATCACAAATCAGGTATGGAGATGGAACATTTTCGCTGCATGTTTGTAAATACTTTCATGGAAGAATAAACTATTATTTTTGAGGCAGCATGCTATTAAACGATGCGTTATCATACATTTTATTTGAAAAAGTCATAAAAAAAAAATTGCATTTTTGGAGTTAGAACTTTTACGAATTAGTCTGACGGATATGTTAAATGATTATGTATACAACTCATAATTAACATTATACATCTTTATTTTAAAAAATGTACAATACATGATAATACGTAATTATAGATTGAATATAATGCCGAACTTTTATAAGTTAACAACAAATGTTACTTCAACATTTGATGATGTAGCTGTAGTCTTGTAAAAATACATTTAAAAAAGTATTAAGATTTCAATACTAGTATACGAATAAAAAAGTATTAAAAATACTTTTAAAATCCTAATATATATAAATCTCGTGTCACAATGTTTGTCCTCAATGGACTCCTAAACCACTTAACCGATTTTGATGAAATTTTTTACACCGCGTGTAATTTGGTCAAACTTAAAATATAGGATAGTTTTTATTTCAAATTTTTTAATACATTAAATATTTTAATTAACTTTTTAATAAATTTGTATGATTGCATGGTGTATTTCGGGTTTTTCCGTGGCCGACCGCGATAATATCTATCTGTAACCTGACCTTTTTTCTATTGTATGTGTTTTATCGTCGGTCGCGTGTAGATATGAATTGTTCCGAGAATTATCGCCATAATACGTGTAGATATGAATTGTTAATATATATCTGTATATATAAAACAGTAAGCTGATTGACTGCTATCAACGCACAGCTCAAACCATTGGACGGATCTGGCTGAAATTTGGCATACAGATAGCTATTATGATGTAGACGTGCGCTAAGAAAGGATTTTTCGAAATTCGCATTTTAAATAGGTGCTCAAACAGGGACATTGAGATTCAAGATGGAAATTGGAAATTTTATTTTTATTTATTAATAGTTGCCATTGGTTACAGTCTACATTAGAAATTAGCATTTATTTATTGGTTGCCATTGGTTATTCGGGCAGATCAGGTACAAGCTTGCATCAAATCAAATTATTGAACATTGCCTACCAGGGAAGCTGAGTTGCACTTACCCCAGCAAGTTACACCCAAAAGGAGTTCAACAATCATAATTTTTTTAAGAGTTGTGATTTTTTACGAGCAACCAAATTTGTTATATTAATTCACCGTATTATATCAAAATAAACTTGGTATAACTTTTGATAATTTAGAGTTAAATCATACACTTCCGTACAAACAGCACGGGGTCCGCGATCTACCGCAGGTAGATTGCCTACCTGATAATGTACTGCTGCGATTCAGAATTTTTATTCCGGGCAACGGAAAAGATAAGATAAATTTTGAACACCATACACCGAATATTGAATAACGAATTGAACAAAGTTTGAGTCATAACTCATATTGAGTTGATACATTTAAAGGGCGACGAAGTGCACGGGATCAGCTAGTACTATTATAAAAATGTATTTTACGAATACTCACAAAGTATTTGAATACAAATACAAGAATTTTTTTTAATTTTATGCTATATAATAAATATGTTTATTGTACACCGGTATAGGTACCTATTATTTTACTACATACCATAGATTTTAACAATTACTATTTACTATGACATGTCTGACTATTTAGAGATAAATACATGTTCACATATTTCATTCTGCATTCAGATATAATTCAACAGATATTGATTAAATTTTAATGAAAAAAATAAATTAAAAAGTGGTATTAACTATTAATATGAAACTTTTTTAAAATTAATACATTTTTAGTTTTCTTAAAAAATTTCCAATACAGAAACCATTATATAAAACATTGTAAGAAACTAATAATTATCCTTTCATATTTATAAGAATCAACTCTTAGGGGACATTCTAAATCAGCGATCCTCACTACGCGGCCCGCGGGCCGCATGCGGCCCTCGGAACGTTTTTTTGCGGCTCTCAGACTGACTGTTAAGGATAGTCATACCTTTGAAAAATATTCAATATTTTATAAATAGGTACCAGTATATATTTTATATTTGTACAAAAAGTTTATGTACGGTTGGCAATTATCAAATGATTGTCTATTATTATCGGTAATTTCCAGAACGCCTCGAACAACAATTGAAATATGTGACCTCGACGATTGCTCGGTCGTCATTTTTATCTTTACTGTTTGTCATTAGTGGGGAATTTTATCTAGCTCAGTGCAAACATGTACAAGTTGGCTCAGTATTAATGTGATTTTAGTGCGGCTAACTCTATCAATTGAACAAATTATTTTACGAACATAACACTTAGTTCAGTGATTGAATTTTGTAATTAAATATGGCGGGAGTGTACTCAAAAGAGCGGAAACGAAAACTTGAGGATGAAAACCGTGCATTTCAAGCTGAGTGGGAGGGAGATTTCTTTTTTACAAAAGGTAAGAAAGAAGGAACTGCCCTGTGTTTGATATGTCTTGAAACGGTACATGGAAACAAACGTTATAATTTGAACAGACACTACACTTCAATTCATTCGCAGTTTGAAGAAAAATTCCCGAAAAAATCTAAGATCCGTGAGGAAAAATTGCAATCATTGAAAAAGTCCTTTGCTTGTGAACGTAGTACCCTTTTTAATGCAATGAACAGGAATGAGCTAACTACAAAAGCATCCTACCAAGTAACAGAAATTTTAGCACAAAAGATGAAGCCATTTTCTGATGCAGAAATTGTAAAAGAGTGTGTTGTCACCGTTTGTAAAACTTTGTTTTCACACTTACCTAATAGTAAGCAAATATTAGATGAAGTTTCTAAACTTCAGCTGTCTGACTCAACTTGCATGAGACGATCACAAGACTTAGCAGCAAATATTGCACTTAACATTACCGATGAACTTCAGCAAAGCAAATATTTTAGTCTTGCACTCGACTCATCCACTGACATAACGTCAATTTCTCAATTACTATTGTTCGTTAAATATGTATCCAAGGACTGTGTTGTTAAAGAAAATTTTTTGGGCATGATTCCCATGACTGGACAAACTCGAGGTGTTGATTATTTGAACACAATAGTAAGTTTTTTTAACGAGCGTAGCATTGATTTGAATAAGGTTTTTTCTGTGTGTACAGATGGTTGCCCATCAATGTTAGGCCGGAATATAGGGTTCGTTCAGTTGTTGAAAAAACATTTGGAAAACGATAATTTATTAAGCTTTCATTGTATTATTCATCAAGAAAGCTTAGCTGTTAAATTTGGTGAAAATTTCAGCTGTGTTATGAAACAAGTTGTAAAGATCGTGAATTTTATAAGGTCAAATGAACTGAACCGCAGAACGTTCCAAGAGTTTTTGAAAGAACTTATATCACAATACGGGGACGTGCTTTACCATACAGAAGTGAGATGGCTGAGTAAGGGTAAAGTTTTGGAACGTTTCTTCAGTATTCGTCATGAGATTACTCTGTTTTTAGCTACAAAGGAAAAAGAGTATCCTGATGTTTATGATTTTAGTTGGTGGCTCAAAGTAGCGTTTCTCACTGATACAATGTGCATTATGAATGAAACACTGACTCGATTGCAAGGACACTACAATAACATTGTAACGAAAATGATTAGTATTGTGTTTTCACAGGAACAAAAACTCAATATGTATATCGAAGAATTGTCAAACAGTGATTATTCTAGTTTTCCTTCTGTTAAAACTTTGTTTCATGAAAATCCAGATGAAAGTCAAGATGTTTCTGATTTAATAAAGCTGTTGACAGATCTAAAGAACGAAATGTCTTTGAGGTTTAGTGACTTCAGGAAGTATCAAGAACCATTTCGCTTGGTGGAAAACCCATGGTCAATTACAACAGCAAATATAGCTCATCTTTCTGTTTTTGGATACGAAGCTAGGGATTTGAAAAATGAGTTAATTGATCTTCAGCATGATACGGAGCTAAAAAGTGTTTTTGAAGAAAAAAAGAAGAATAAAGCTCACTACGAGTTCTGGAAAGCAGTTGAAAAGGACAAATTTCCTAACTTAATTGACTGTGCTCAGAAGATTTTGTGTGTTTTTGCATCTACGTATGTCTGTGAATCAACATTCAGTAAGCTGAAGTTCATAAAAAACAAGTACAGATCCAGATTAACAAGTGAGAACGTTGAAAACATTTTGAGAATTTCGGTTTCTTCTCAACCTGCCAACATAGATGCCATATTAGAGAGTTGTGAAAGATTTCGCCATTCGACTTCAACGAATGTGTCATGAAATTAAGTAAAAGACATTTCCCTACTTTTTTATATGTAAAATGTTTAATTTTTTGATGTAATAAACTTATGTTATAATCATATTGTTTGTAAGTTATTTAAAGCCACTTCATAGTGTATTATAACAATAAGAAAAATATATTTTGTAATTAACCTATACCGTTTAAATTTAGGCTCTGACTGTACAATTTGTACTTGCGGCCCTAAGGAAAATTTGATATGAACTATTTGGCTCTCTCAGAAATCCTAGTGAGGACCCCTGTTCTAAATGAACCGATATCATTATGTGAACTAAATACAGGTCTACAACGAAAAAAGAGCTACAGTTGTGGTTCGGATCAGTGGCGTGTTTGATCCCTGTTTGATTGATGCAATTGCTCCAGCCCTAAAAATCTATGGTTGGGGTGGGTACCCCTGGCTATGTTCGAACTCCTAAATACCTACAATGTATCTACCGGTCACCTTAGATGCAAGGTTGCCACCTACTAGTACCTAGGTTAACATATTCATAACATGCTCTAGCCTGATGATTAGGTCCGGCTTTGAACCGGAGATACTGAGGCCTCGAGCCGTGCATTCTGCACGTAGTTCCACCGTCGTCAACTCCGACAACGTCTTACTAATCATATTGTGTTATATTTCCGGTTTGATCGTTGTGGTGTTGTATGTTCGGTGGTTATGATTGCCGCGCGGTTCACAATATGTGTGTGGTGATGTGTTTTGTTTTATGGCAGTCACGATTAAAGATATAATGGTACATGTCTTTAATATTACTCTCATGATAAGAACAATTCTGCAGCGCTCTATAGCAGCAGTGGAATATTTATGTACTATTGTACTATATTAATATAATATTATTACATCGTTTTCGCAATTTACAATAATTTACAAAATGGGCATGGTCGTGAATCTGAAATTTTTATTTTTATTTAATGTTGTATATATACTTATCTATGGTTTTAGTGTTTTACAGGACTCCTTGTCGTGATACCTATGTGTGTAATATGTCTTCATTTTTAAAATGGTATTGACATATCCTAGATTTGTCTCTTAATGTAAAGCCTAAAGCTTTCTCCCATTTAACCTTCAAGGAAATTGCTTTAGGTACTCCAAACGTACTAGGGTTTAAACCTTTATATAAAAGTTAAACCAAAAAAAAATTATCTTAGACACTATTGGCTATTCTCAAACGACAAAACCATTTAATATTTACAATTATATAATTACATGCCCAAAATGTTGACTAAAGAGCAGATCAATATGTATATAATAATTACCTGTTTAACAGCTGGATGAGACGAGAATATTATCCACTAATGTACTTCATTTCGTTTCGTTCAAACTTCAAACAATTAACAAATAAACACGTTGTAAAAATATATTAAACTGGTTTAAACAGTAAAACAAGAGTATTATTATAATTGCAGGCCTCAGGCCGCTGCAGCTGCGGGTAACGCATAAACAAGATTATTCCAATACAACAATAATTATTGAACATTGCATGAATGTATTGTGGCATTTCATACAAATTATGACACTTAACAGTTATAACATTTAAATAATATTTCTTGCATTAAACTTACTGCTTAGTACTTGGTAACATTTTTATCCGATCGAAACTTAAAAATATTATTTATAATTAATATTCAATATTGAATACAAATACATATTACATAAAATATAATTTATGATAATGTTGGTAATATCTTTATGATACCTAATGGTACAGGGAATGTATGTTTTAAGCCTCCTTTACACTGTATTGTGTCGTCCAAGTTGTTTTTCTTGGTAGAATGGTATCTATTAGGTTAACGAATGTAACCGCGTATCTCATTACCTTATCAAATCAGCATGGTTTATGGCGGGCCATGATTATAGATTATAATATATTATTATAGTGTATTAAGTTATAATAAAATATTACAATCAATTTTTAATTTCTACTTGTCTAGTTAGTAACTACTACTTAAGTAATAATATTAGTATATTATGCGTTTTATATAGTTTGTTATACGTTTTATGTGTATTGTTTTATCGTTTTAATATATTATATAATTTAACAACATGAAAAGAAATGTACAATATGAAACTGAGTATTATAACTATAGTCTTCAGTTATATAGAAGAAAAATAATAATCTTGTGTTGTTTGGAGGAATTATCAAATCAATCTATTAGTATAAACACATTACACAATATAACCAACTTTTAACATTTTAATTTATAATATGCATATTACATAAATATTAATAGTTATTTTAGGAGAAATCTTAAAAGATGGTATGTTAGGCCAATTTTCTTAGAAATACCAAAATATGGTCAATATAGTATACTGCAAAAAAAACATCAGCTGTGTAATTCATCACAATTAATGACCCTATTAACCAGTGTATGAGTCGAATAGATGATTTTTTTGATGTGTGTTAGTATATGTGCGAATCGGGACCAGCCGTTTTGAGTCTAATAGGTGAATGAGTCAATTAACCGTGAGTCCAATAAGCTGCGACCACTGTATATTTTAATCTCAATTTCAAAGAGCTTCATCCGCAGCTATAGAAAATGATTTTAAGGAATTTAAAACAGATTTTCAATTTTAAAGTGTGCCCAGACAAATTTGTAATAAAACACTTAGAAAGCATAAAAAGCAACGACAATCTTTTAAAAAGTTGTTTACTTAAGAAACAATATGAACGCATAACAGTCGGAACTAGATCAACAAAATAATTTAACAATAAAAGGTAATAAAGGGATAAAAAATTTTGAAACTAAAATATTAGATTCAGATCTGAAATGTAATATATTATTCAAACAATCAGAATCAGTTGTAGCTACAAATTAAGATTCGAATGGAAAAGAAAATTAACCGTATGAGCAGTACATGGAATCTAATGATCTGCAAGGGGAGCCAAATGAAAAGGAAAAGGAATACCTATCAGAGGCCTTCAGCGCAATAATGGACTAACCCATAATTAATCATATTGAGTTATAGGCAAAAACATAAAATGCTAATTTTATCGATCAATTTTTTCAAAAACCAAAAACGTAATAATTTTTGTGTTTGATTTTTAATTTTGATTAAATGTGGATTAGTCCATTTTTAAATCGTCTTTTTTTAATTGTAATGAGGGTTAGTCCATTTATTTATAAATTGTTGGTCATGTACTAATAAAAATCATATAAGAATATTGTACAATGTTTAATGTTAAAAAAAAAATGTTTCAAAACTAAGTTAACGATACATTACCGTAAGACATTATACATATTATAAAATGTTAATATTAATAATTCTTATTCTACACTTTATAAAAAAAATTAAAACAAAACAAAATGTTTCCTTATAATATTATAATTTATTAACTTTTAAATTTTTATATTAATAATACTGTTTTAATATTTTATATAAAAAAAAAAAAACAAAACAAAATTTTTCTTTATATTCATAAATTTAACAAATACAATATTTAAAAAATGTAATGAGTAAACATTTATATTGTTAATTTATTAAAGTTACCAAAACTTTTTTTTTATTCATCATCACTAGAGAAATCTATTAATGGAATTTCATTATCAATATTTTGAGCATTGGTCTTAAGGCTTTTATAAAACTCGTGGTAAATTGGTGGAACATAATCTAGTAAACATAACAAATCTTTCTTTTTCAGCGGATTTATACAGTTTCCATTAGGGTAAAGTAAATCTAAATTTGCGATTAGTGTGGTGTTTCGTTTTTCTAAATTAAGTTCACTAAATTGACCAATATCATTGTTCGAATATTTGAAAAATATTTTGTAAGGCATTTCGAAAGAAAATCTCAACCATTGTATCTTTAACCACTCAACTTTAGATTTATCAACATCGATTTTGCGGTGTGTAATATTTTTTTCTAATTTTATTGTCGAAAAAAAATCGCTTTTATTCATACAAATGATTTTGAAAGGTTTTTTTTTACGTGCCGCCAAAATAACGTTATTCCAGTGTTCTGGAATAAAAATGTTTGGAAACAACTTTTTTTGTTTTTCAACAAGACCAAAGTCTTGATCACACGGCAAGTATGAATGTCCACTTACCAAAAATTTATGATCAATATTTTTAACCATGTATTCAGGACTAGAAACAATGTATTGACATAAAAGAGATAATTTAATATTGCGGTTTTGGCCACCACACTGATCGGAGTCCATAATTAAATGTTCTGTTGAAACAAATTTTTTTAAGAAATACAAAATGCAAGATCCTATTTCTTGGGGACCCCGAGAGGCAACTGACTCATCCCAGACAAACATGTAAACGTCACCGTTACCCATGTTGTGTATTCCGAAGCAATACGTCCATAGCTGCCGTTTATAGTAACAAATACCCGTTGATAGTAAAGGAGTAGGTAATGTTTTCATCAAATCAAATGTTATAACTGTAACGTCTTCAGGGTTGTTTTTAGCCAATTCAGTGTCGCTTTGAAGACCAGTACGTGCACTAATTGCTTTTCTTTGATGTAACTCCAATTCCTGTTTCAGATTATTCCTATGTGCTTCAGATTCTGCTGCTTTAATTTTTATATCGTATGCATCACATTTTCTACAAGAATCTGATACAAGTGGATGGAAAGATAAATTAAATTCTTCATTAAAAATTTTTCTAAAAACAAAACTTGAAACAGGATTTGTAACTTGTTCAGTGTAGAGTGTGTCCAATTTGATAATATTTAAATCAGGAGCCATATATTTACGATTTGTCGATTTATGAAGGGCATAGTGGCTTTCGTATGCAGGAAATTTCTCTATGAAATTTTTTACTTCAGCAATTTTTTCCGGAGATGTCTTATTTGCCGATGGACCCTTTCCTCTACGATCACTGGGAGGGGTACTATTTTTTCCTTTATTTTTAAGTACCCTATCAATCCGCCCAGCTGATACTTGAAGTGTATTTTGGAAAAATTCTTTACAGACCTTTACTTCGCTTCCTCTACAATCTAACAAACAATAGACCCGAGATTTTTGTCTTCTACTATTAGGATTTTGCGTATAAGAGCGTTGTTTATTGCAAACTTTAATCATTGTAAACAAATACGATGTTTGGATGTTCAAACTATCAAGACTGTAAAATTCATCAAAAATTTGTATTTGTCGTATCTCCGTTATTTTAATGTGACATTTATTAGAACAACGACAAGGGCCTACTTTTGGTTGTTTCTTAGGTACCACTTTTCCTTTAATATCATTATATTCTTTACCTTTTAAACGCCTGTCCTTTCTAATATTTCTTTTCCACGTTGTTTCATTTTTTTACCCGTTTTCGACCCTTTGGTTTAACTTGAATATTTTCACCTGATTCTTGGTCCGAAGGCGAAGAACCTAAGTTGCTTAGTTCAGACTGTTCAGAGGGATTATATTCTGAACCCGAATCAGCAAGCTCTGATAACTCATCATCGCTTTCTAATAAACCTATGAATTATGCCCGTAATTTAGTATATAATAATTATTATTATGCATTAGAAAATGCAATAGGTAACACATTAACGGTACTCACGTTGCAGTTCATTTTCAATGTCCATGGTGCTGAATTAAAAGAATTAATGAACATAAACTTTATACCTACCTAATAATAAATCAATTTCACAGCAACTCACTACGCGTTGTTAATAACAACAAAATAAAAAAAAGCTTTATTAATTTTATACGTTATCTTTTTTAGATCGTTGTTTAATGATTTCGCATAAAAATATAAGCTATTAATTATAATCATAACCATTAAAAAATATAATAATCATTAATAGCCACGGATTAGATTTTTTTTTATGTAATCTGTGTTAGGTAATAGTCACACGGATTTTATATTTTTTACTAACACTTTATACTGATAGGACCGTAAAGTTTAAGCACAGTTTAAAGAATATAATATTATTATATTATTCTTTGTACTGTGGTTCAAATGGACTAACCCACATTTAATAAAAAAAAAAAAGATGTAAAAATGGACTAAGCCATTTTAGTCCATTCTTGCTTTTAAAAATATTTATAACTTTAAAATTCAAAAACGGTTAAGGTGCTGCCATCTAGTAAATATTTAGTGAAGGTGGCTTAGACCGTTTACGAATTGAATTATATGGTGTATAGTTGCAATTAATGTAATTAACTCAATTATTGTAAATTTGTGGGTTAGTCCGTTTGTGCAGGACGAGTAATCTGATAACCAGTACAAAGATTCGAATGAAAATGAAAACGGAACGGATAAAAATATTATGAATCTGATAAATCAATGATAAACCATTGAAAACTGGAAAGGTAAGGGTAAAGAAACTGATGATAATATTTTAAATAAAAAACGCAAAAAAGTACTTAATATATGAGTCCAACCTAAGAAATGAATAGAATATTATCAACAAGAAAAATTCGCTCTACAACCAATAATATTTTAATAAATGAAAACAAAGGTACAGCTGTAATTTTATTGAAATTAAAACTAACGTTTCTTAGTACAAAATACTTCTCCTTTGTTAGCGCTCAAGTGTTATCGTACGCTGTCGGGAAAGAGACCTTATTTATCTTATATTATATGTCGCCAGTCGCGTATCGAAGTTTATACCGAGCACAACGAGCAGCTCCACAGTTATTATTATATTATAAATACAACTATACAGTCCACTTGAGGTCTATGTTTCTCTTTCTTAAAGGTCTTAGTTCTTCTAAAAACATTTTTCAAAGCAGTTGCTGTTTTAATTACAATTGCTTATACAGATAAGTCAAAGTGCCAAAAATGTATAGATGAAAATATAAATAATGATTCCCTCCCATTCTGCATAAATCTTGCAAAAACTGGAGCAACACATAGTATTTACAAAAAAAAAAGAATTTCCTTACTGCAAAATGTATATAAGGTTTATACTGGGGTTATAGATATACATTTAATTAATGCTACATGTTACGTAAAATTTAAAGTAACAAGCTACTTAAAAATGTCCAATATCTAAAATATACTATAGTCCAACTAACGTATTAAATTTACAAAATGGATTTAAATGCCTGGAAGATGATTTAAAAACATATTTAAAAGGAAAAAAGTTGAATTTTTAAAATCGAGGAAACTTATACAGTATTTATTTAAAAAACGGGTTTAATCGGGTATTATTTAATTACATTTAATTTTTAATATGAGGGATCATTAAAAATAATTTCATTAAAGATTCAATAAAAATCAATTCAATAAAGATATATTCATAAGAAATATAATATGAATTTTTTTTTAAATTGAAGTGCACTGTGAAGAATTCACTATATTCTAATTCGTTCGATGTAAGTAAAATGTATTAGTTAATTTCACCATGTTGTACAATGTGAACAGTGAGCAGTAATTTCCGAAAAATAAATTAATGGCTGTGATTGGCTGAATCTATCAGTTACTAAGTGATATTAGTGATACGATAAGAAACACAATTTGTATGAATTTATTTATGCAGTTAATCCAAAATTTGAGTGGGGGGTTGTAGAAACGTTTTCCCAGCCCCCCCACCACACTAAAAATACTTTTTTGCAAGAAACAACTATGCAAATATTTAGTACATATATCATTATATTCTTATAAATAAATCTTTATAAAATGTTTTCATAATTTAATTGTAATCTTAACTGTCTTTAAGAAAATAACTCATTGCCAAATTGTTGTTCGTTATGCTTGTACTTGCATTTATATTATTTCATGAAATTCATATTAATATAGGTATCCCACACAACTAACAACATAAAATTCTATAATTCATATAAAATACCATCGTTATCTTCTTCAAAATCATCATGTTCTTCCTCTTCATCATTCACACCTTCTTCCTCCACCTCATCATCAAAAACGTCTAAATCCATTAACTCAACAATATCTTCATTATCTGAATCGATAAAAAAAAAACAATTTTGAATTCATATTATTCAATTAAAAAAATTGTTAAATAATCATGGTCGAGAAGTGCATTGACAGCCATGTTTCCCGAGTTAATTAGGTAATATATTGTAGTCGTGTACAGGGGCGGGTGTTATCACTCACCAAGGAGGGGGAGGCTAATAGAGGTTCAAGAATTTAGTTAGTTGTTTTTTAAATCTATATAAAATTTAAAATTACAGATTATGTTTTTGAGTCCCTCATAAGTAAGTCATTTTTTTTTCACCATAGTGACATATTTTAAATAGTTACATTATTGGTATCAATATTTATCTGAAACTATTTATTTATAAAAAAAAAATATACATAAAATAGGTATAGGTCTTACATTATCAATTCCATATTTCTTTTTATAACTTTTGAAAACCGTTCAATGATGTTATCTGTTGTTACTACTTTTTCCTTATGAACATGAAGTAAAGCTAAACTATTCAATCTATCTTGACACATTTGTGATCTTAACCAATTCTTTAACCTAGATTTAGAACATTTTAGTAGACAAATAAGATTATTTGGTTATATTAATTTAATATTATAATTTTAAATGTAGATGGATATACCTGCGCAAAGTAGAAAAACTTCTTTCAGCTAATGCAAAGCTGATGGGTAGACAACCAATAATTAAAAGTAATGTTTTAATATTTAAGAATAGTACATCCTGAAAATGATCCAAACCACCTATGACCTCCTTGAAATTAAATATAAATAATTTTAGTATAAATATATACTAAAAAATAATAATAGATTTTATATTTACTTAATTTTAACTCTGGTCCATTAGCAATCCATAATTCAAGTTCAGAAGTTTAATATTGTTTTTTCTATGTGTAATATGAGTATACTTTATCAAAATTTCTGCACATAATTAATATCCGATTTGATGTCAACAACACTTTTTGGTATAAGAAGTAATAATTTATAAACAGTTAATTTTTTTTTTAACTAAAATCTATCTTTTAGATCATCGAGTACGTGATCATACAGTACATTATAAACAGAAATTCTAAAGTATTCTTCAATAGAAACGGATAAAATATTTGGTCTATGTACCTATTTGATGCTTAGTATTGCGTGGTAACTTAAGTTCCACATCTAATTTTTCCATCAGTTTTTTACTTTCTTCAAATATGGTTTTGAAATGTATATCACTGTTTGACCGCCTATTTACCATAACGTTTATAATATCCTTAAAGCAATTTTCAGCAAAATTTAAATCATTTTGAATACCTCAAGTAGTTTACTTGCAGGTGCTGTTAAGTAAAGTAAATCTGATAGTGTAAACAATGATATTATAAATTCACATGTAGTTAATGAATTTAACCCTGCGTTAGGCGCGCGGTTGACAGATGTCACCCAGTATATTTTAAAATTAGATTATTCTTATCGAATGCAATTTACGACTTTGTTATCTCTAGTACCTCTCATTTAGACATACGTGAAACGTTTTCTGACTCATTTACCGAAGTGCTGTTGTTTGGAACTGTTATATAAATTTAATTATCGTATTGGGTGACAAGTGTCCACCACGCGACTTTCTTTGCAATCAAATATTCGGAATCTCTCAGGTAAAAATATATAATAAATAACAATATAAAATCAATAGTTAGGTAATATTTTGTTCACATTTTTATTTATTTAGTTTAATATGTCAAATAATAAAATACTGAGACTTGAGAGGACGTTAGACGAAAATATAATTCAAAATTGGTTCGATGATTTTAGTAGTGACGAAGAATCTTTTGGAGAGGATAGTGATTCAGAGGAGGATATTAGTGTACTTAGAAGTGATCACGATACCATTCTGAAGAAGAGGCAACTGATGCCGATAATTTTTACATAGGAAAAGATGGAAAAATAAAACCTGTAAATGTCCGTACACGTGCACATAATATTATAACCCATCTTCTTGGCCCTAGAAGAGAAGCACGTGGAAAAAAGTCTCAAATTAAAATTTTAAATTTATTTATTGACGATAATATTACTAGAATTATAACACACTGTACAAATATTTATATTGAATCAATCCGCGAAAAATTTCAGCGAAGTAGAGACGTGAGGCTTACATGCGTAACAAAAATTAGAGCCTTTATTGGACTATTATACCAAATAGGATCCTTTAGGTGCTCCTGTAAAAATATACATCATCTTTGTTACAATTCAAAAGGAAATGGAATGGAGTCATGTTATTTGACTATGAGTGAAATAGATTTCGTTTTCTTGTACGATGTTTACGGTTTGATGATGGGCATGATCGAGCGGTTCGTAAAAAAATTGACAAATTAGCTCCTATTAGAGATATTTTTACATTGATGGTTGATAATTTTCAAAAATATTACTGCCCCAGTGAATATGTGACCATAGATGAGCAGCTATTAGCTTCTCGAGGAAAATGTCCATTTAGGCAATATAAACCGGCCAAATATGGCATAAAAACATTTGCTCTACTTGATCCTAGAACTGTCTATACTTTAAATTTAGAGACCTATCTTGATGTACAACCCGACGGACCATACAAAATTAGTAATGCTTCTCAAGATGTAGTTTTGCGATTAGTTGAACCTATGTTTGGAACAAATAGAAATATTACGGGGGAGACCACTGGTTTACCAGTATGCCTTTGATAATCAGTTTGAAAGAAAAAAAGCTTACATATGTAGGTACAGTTCGTTAAAATAAACGAGAAATTCCAAAAGAATTTTTACCAAACAAACAACGAGTTGAAACGTCTTCAGTATTTGGAATCCAAAAAGAATGTACATTGGTTTCATACTGTCCAAAAAAAAAAAATGAAACGGTTTTAGCAATCTCGTCTATGCATCATGATGATGCAATAGACGAAGAAACAGCTGGAGAAAAAAAAAACCAGATATAATTACATTCTATAATAGGACTAAAACTGGTGTTGATTTGGTTGATCAATATTGTCAAAATTATAATGTAGCACGTAACACAAAACGCTGGCCAATGGTTATATTTTATAATCTTTTGAACGTGGCTGCAATAAATGCACTATGTATTTATAAAGCTAATCACACGGAAAATATAAAAATAAAAAGGATCGACTTTTTTCAAGACTTGTCGTGGGAACTAATAAAACCACAAATTCAATTTAGATCTACAATACAAACACTTCCAATTGAACTTCGAAGACGTGCTAAAATTCTGTTAGGAGAAAAGGATACGGTAGCTATAGGGACAGAAAGACCAGATGGATCCAGAGGTCGATGTTATGATTGTGGACGAGCGCGTGATAAAACTACCAGAAGGTGGTGTTGTAAGTGTAAGAAGTGGATGTGCGGTGACCATTTAAAAGACATATGTAAAAATTGTGTACTATAAAAAAAATGTTTAAGCTATTTATATCTTTCTTATCATAAGTAATAAATTATAAATATTTCTAATTTTAATCAATAATTTATTTATGGTTGACAACTGTAACCCACGCGCCCAACCACATAACAAATGTCGATGCGCCTAACGTAGGGTTAAAAGAGAATAAGCTTTCACTGACGAATTCATTATCTTGTAATAAGGTTCAGAGATTTAATGATATATTGTAGAGAATTCTTAAATATTAAAATGCTATCATATCTTTCAGTCTATCTGGTTACACATAGACTCATTAAATGTTTTTCTTTACCAAATACTTTTTTTAGAACAAAATTTCTTTTGGCAGACATATTAAAAAAATTTACAATTTCTTTAATAATACCAACAAAGTTTTTAATTGACATGACACTAGATGATTTAGAAATTGATAAATTTAAACAATGATTTGAACATGCGCTATAGACCGCGTTTGGAGTTGCGTTAGATTGAATATATTTAACAGCGCCACGAACAGTGGAAGTCATTACCGAGCAACCATCAGTAGCAATTCCAACACAGTGTTCTAAGTTTAAATTTAAATTTTTTAGAATACTAATTACTGTTTTTCCAAGAACATCACCAGTGAGTTTAGGTTCAATAAGAGCGTTTTCATCATTTTCTGTAGATTCTTCATTGTCATTGATCTGTTCCTCTTGGTTTGATTTTTGGTTATTATAAAAGTATGTGTGGAAGTTAATGAATGAAACAAAGTCTTCTTTTATTTTTCCACCAAAAATATATCTTAAAACTAGTGTCATTTGAGATGAATGTGACACATCTGTGGTTTCATCAAATATGATACTATAAAACTTATTAGATTTAATTATCAGAGTTAACTATCCAAAATGTCTGACATTTTAAATTTGCAATACTTTTTTCCCACACGCAATAAAAAAAATATTGTTATAATGTTTGTCCTCATTAGTATTTTTATACATTTGCAGATAGTAATAATGTTGATGAAATTTCTAATGAAGTAACTAAATCACAAAGACCCGTTATTGAACATACTTGGAATGATGTTACAGGTCATCACCAAAAACAATTTATCTCAGTAAAAATCCTGGTTTTAAAGTTGAAATTCCAAACAACGCGACTGTATTGCAATATTTCAAATTATTTGTAACTGACGAAATTATCGACCTTGTTGAAATATACAATTAATATTAGTATTCAAACCATGTAAACACGTGCGTGTACAATGTCGTTTTCTAATAGATACTTATGCAGTTACGATATAGCTGTGCAACACCTTTACTATCGCTTTCTATATTATATACGGATACGTGATGGCCTCGATTGTTCATATAAATAGGGCCTTTGATGTATGTAATACTCACTTGCACAGACGCTGTCATACCGAGTGTACGCGGTGTGTGTGTATACTGTATAGTCACAGTTTAATTGTCCATTTGTACCTTATTATATATTATACTTATACATAATCATATTGTCGTGTTATTACTTATTATACTAATGCTAAAATCACTAGTACGTCAAGTTTCACTTTCAACAGACCTCATAGTTTTAGAAACAAACAAAAATGCAGATCAAGTATTATCTAAATTTCGATTAACTAAATCTAGTAGATTTTCGAAGTGGACACTGACCGATGCTACAGAAATAAAGCACTTTTTGAGTTTACTAATATGGATGGGATTAGTACAAATGCCAAGCCTTAAAGATTATTGGAGTTTTAAAATAATATATAAAAACATTGTAGCAAAAAACATAATGTCCAGAAATAGATTTGAATTGATTCTTCGTTTTTGGAATTTTTTGGATAATGAGCAAGCCCCCGAAAATGACAGGATTTTTAAAGTTCAAAATTGAATCCACAAAATTGTAAATAATTTTCAAAATGCAATGGAACCAGAGAAAATGATGGCAGTCAATGAAACAATGGTTCCATTCCGTGGTAGATTAAAATTTAAACAATACATTCCCGGTAAGGCTCTTATATTTTCAGGAAAATAATGTACAAAGGACTGATTCAGGTGATAGTAGTATTTATTTAAAAGGACCTGCATCTTTGGCATTGGTAGTAGATGAAGAAAACAATAATCAAGGTTTGTAATTAATGCTATATAAGCTTGTCTTCTTCTTTCTTCTTCGATATTCTATATTTGTATTCTATACCCTTCATATGCACAACCATAGGCATATGTCACCCATTTCTTCTTTACTCATACTCTTATATCTTATGTACTAATTTCAATTGCATTCCAATGTAGAAGATGATATTGACACATTATTAGAGAACATTGAATATGAAACAATTGTGTCTTCGTTGAAGTTGATGAAAATGAAACACTTGGTGTTACCGGTGAAGGTCAACAAATTGACAAAACTGCAGATCAAAGCAAGTTCTACAAGTTCTAAACGACCAAGTGTTACAGTGTTTTTTAAATTTATAGTTGTAGTCAGGGGCCCACTTTGGGGTAGAGGCAATCTTGTAAAGCACTTGAGTAAAAGTATTCAAATACTTTTTAAGTACTCAAATACCTATTCTAAATACATTTAAAAAAAGTACTTGGGTACAGTATTTGAATACTTTTTTGAAAGTATCTGTATTTAAAATAAAATACTTTTTTCATCTTACTTTATTTACAGGGACGTTAAATTTAAATAAAATCATACAAATTTGAAATTGTACAACATTTTTATTTAAATACTAAAATATATCCATTTAATTGAATATTTTAATGTATGTAGTACGTCGATGGTCGATTTCCTAATAAAATTGGAAATACCTTTACACGAATTAGGTATATAATATAAAACATAACGATAAATACTATTGAAAAGTATTTGTATTTGTACTTACATACTTTTTTTTCCAAGTATTCAGATACGTATTTTAAATACTTTTGAAAATAAGTATCTGTATCTGTACTTGAATATTTGTAATAGTATCTTTTACAAGACTGGGTAGAGGTACCCCTATATTGGTTGTGTATTGGTAACCAGGCATATACATTTTATATGGTAAACATAAAATAAAAAAAACAAACAAACATGGCAAGTGGTAGTACTAGTAAATAAAAATGTATAGTCTTCAAAAATCTCATAGTGTTTTTAATTGTTATTTTTCTTCTAGAAATAGTGAAACAAAATCTTAGAAGCCAGCTACAAACAGCAAGAAATACATTCAATGTTATTGCAGAGAAACTGATTAAAACTGATTCGATTAAAGTTATAGCTGATTCTTTATTGGTAATTGGAAAGGCTCTTGACAAAATGGCTGATAATGATATACAAAGAACAGAGAATGAAAGGAAGATGTTAATATTGTACGAAAAAATGCTTGAAAAAAATAGCCCAAGTTATCATTTAGATATCATATAAATACTTTTAACATTTTTTTTGGTCTTAAGAAATGTTAAGTTTTAAATTTAAAAGGCTGAGTTCGTTATACTATTTTTTTTTATTATATTTTAACATTTGTAAAATGTCCAGTGTTTATTCTCCTTTGGTTTTAATCATCTTCTGAATCTCTTCAATTATCAAACTGATCTAAGATTTGTCTTTGTATCCGCTTAGCCACTGCTCTTGGACCTCCTCGTTGATCAATGTATGGTATTTCTAGATTCACATCCATATTCTGACCAATTAGTTCAACATCTAAATCTTCTTCGCGATTAGGTAATTTATAATGAATACGCATGTTATCGAGCGTAAGCATTTACTATTCTGCCAGCTTTATCAGGAGCATACATTAGTACTCTTTGATACGAGAGGCACCTCCAAACACTTTTAAATACACCAAAAAATCTTTCTACCACATTTCCGGCCTTACAAAGATTTTTGGTGTATTCAAATTGACGTGTCCCTTCCGGATAATGAGGTAACTGTGTCATGAGCCATGGTTCTAATGGATACCCAGCATCACCTAGGTAAAACAATTACATAGATAAGCAATGGATTAAACAGTAGCAAAAATATAAGCGTAAGAGTTAGTTTAAAATATAAATTTAAAAACCTATTATACTAAATGTATCAATCACAAAATACTATAAATTTAATATATAAATTATTAATTATCCCATGATTAATATCTAGACGGAATTCAGCAGTTTTTTGTTAAATGGAACAAGGATTTTTACAGTGAAAATAAACCACAAAAATAACTTATTACTTTTTGTTTTTGACTAGTTAGTGCTTTGGTATACAAACTAACTAAATTACTTACCAATTAACCATGTACGACGTTCATCATTATTAAAATGATATTCCATTCCCTGTCGTACTGCAGATACACTCCATATATAAGAATCATTGCGAGCCCTAGGATACCTGGCATTTATATTCAAAATTTTCAAATCCGGGTCAACAATCTTATGAAAAAAAATATATAATACGAGTTTTAAATCTCATAAACAATACACATATATTCTACTGCTAACAGGTAATACTTGTAATACTTACGGCTTGAACGTTGAGCGAATGATTACCATGGTGATTAACATATGCCTCTTCATGGATATGTGGAGCAAGAATATTGTGGCGAACCAGTGCCTTCGCCACATACTCCCTCCCCATGTCGGTCGCGCTCCCTGCGTTGGCAACACCGCTCGGCCCTCCGCGTCGTTCGCGACCGCGAAGTGTCAGGCGGCCGCCAACGGTCTCTCGCTCGGCAACCGTCAACCGACGCACACGACTCCGTTCCGAGCACCGCCGACATCTTTTTGCAGTGGCTTCATCGCACTTTGCAAAGTTCACGTCCGACTTTAACAATAAATATTTCATCTACTCAAAGTCGTCTCTTAGTACATTTATTTCGTACCTTGCGTATATTGGCCGCGTAAGTTGTGTAACTCCTATTAAAACCTACGCGCGCCACATTGGTGACCTCGTCCAAAACGAACACACACGCCGAACACGTGCTCCAACACCGCGTAAGTCACGCACGCCGAACACGCGCTCCAACCCCGCGTAAGTCACGCACGCCGAACACGCGCCGGGCATCGACGAGCAAGACACGACTTCGCTCGATTTTTCGTATTCTCGTCCTGCAACACGCGCCATGACAAACAGATTGAACGACGAGCACGAGCAAAACCGGTCAGCTGGTGGCAGCGCCTCAACCCGGTCGCTTTCGCACCAGCATCGCGGGAATCCGCGACAGACTTAAACGCACAGGTCCAGCGGCTAAACCTACAAGTTGCGCACCTCACCATCGAGGTCGAGCGCCTGAAAAAATTGGTGGTGCCCATCGCTACGGTCGCACCGTCACCGCCGGCCACGAAGGTTAAAACGTGCTATTACCACAGGTTATACGGCGCGAAGGCGAAGAGCTGCCGACCGCCTTGCGATATGCACACGCCAGAAAGCACTGTTAAGCCATAAGCTTCGGCCTTACGCCATTTTGTTTTTATTCTTTTTCAACTCCACCCATCATCATTCAAAATTCATCATCAATCAACTCGGCTACACCTCAAAATTTGCCCCACTTCTTCTTTCGGCCGCACATCTAAATTTTTCTCCAATCATCTCGAAGCGTAAAACAATTCAAATTCAATCAACAACAACCACTCAAAATTTTCGTCTCGAGATACACTCGCCCGCCGTCTTTCCGTTTGAGCAGAAAGCACGTACGTCTCCACACCCCGCAGGATCGCTGCATCGAGACGCGCGCGTAAGTACGATCGCAGTTAGACGGCTATCGAAACGTCGTCTTCGAGACCGCCGTCGCGGGGAACCGCATTTCGTGCAGCACCGCGCCTCCTCCGAAACGCCCACCACCCGCCTGCGCGTC